GCGTTACTCACGGCGCAGGCAACGCGTGTGGCTGTGCATTTATACTTCTGTGCGCGGTCTCTGTTGGTCTGCATTAACACTTCCGAAACGCTAGTTGGCAGTCAGGTGTTAATGTTCCTCTGTGTCGAGTTTCTTCGCTGCTGTCTTGCTTTTCCTGAACACTTCCTGGATGTACAAGTGACTCAAACTCGCTCATTTTGAGGCAGGAACCGGCAGACGTGCAACAACTTTAATCATGAGGTAAACACAAAACAAAACTTTCCATCCGGAGCTCCTTCACGGGACTCCACACTTGTAAACAATCGCTCGCGCCATTCACGCAGCTCTCGGTCCCGCCCAGACTCGTCAGCGCTACCAAGCCGACCAATCACAGAGCTTACACTATGCGTTGTTGCGATGTGTAGTTAAATTTTTTGAGAGGTGCACGTCAGTGACGCCGACGGCCACGGCGAAGGGCTATGTGTCAACGGAGTCGCATACGCCCGCGTTTGACGCAGAAGTATAAATCAGCCTTAAGTCACAAAGTTTGCAGAACACTACACTGTAAAAATCGTATGTGCTATTTATTTACGATTATTGAACGTAATATTTTTACGTTGTTTTCAAGGCTTGAATTTCTTTAGCAAAAACCACATGAATGAATCGTGAAAATTACAAAATGTTTTGAGTGATAGATGATCATTTTAATATTATTAGTGAAATATGCTTTTATAATTAAAGCAAATCAACCACCATTTACTCATATTTATTAATGAAAATTACTTGTTCATAAATATACAATTTATAATGAAACCGTGCATTTCATCGTGTTGTTCGGCCACCCCGATTAAATGTTGCCTGATCATTGTTAAATATGACAATGCAAATAATTTGTTCAATTTTTTAAATATAATTCAAAATGAACAGAAGCAAATCAATTTCCAATAGGGATGGGTGGTTAAAAAATACCTGTGTATCCCTATATAAATTGTATGGCAAAACCTAAGCTCTTGAACAAGCTTGAACAGGATGTGTCTTTCTTGAAAGATTTTCCTTATTTAAGACAATGAAAATTATAAACTGTAAAAGTCTCTCAACATGCCCACTGTTGATCTGCTCCTTCAAATCACTGCCGTTGTTCAAATGCAAACATCTCAATCAAATCTGCATAATTGAGTGAATTTTCTTAAAATAAACGTGAGCCATCTTTCCTCAATTTTATTAGCTTAGTTGGTTTCTCAAATTAAGCCTAATAATTGCACTGGTTTGCTTAAAAACCAGTGAAATTTATCTCTTGATTTTATTAGCAAAATCTTCTCAACATTTTATAATAAATTCAGAATATTATTTTTATGCACAATATTTTTAATGACCACATACATTTTTTTAAATTAAATATTACAAGCCTAAAGATTCATTTTTTTACAGTATATGCTTCTGTGTGGTGTTTCCAGCTGTTATGAATTACATGGCAATTCTACTGTTGTTACTTTATTACAAACAGGCTCTGTTTTAAAAATGTTTAAACTCATTCTTGAGGTGCAGATGATCACAGAGAGTTGGAACTGATCTTTTAATCCCAGTTTCTTTGTCAATCCTGTTATGGCATATACAAATAAATTTCTGGATATTTAAAAAAGAGACTGGTTGTGTTGATATTACTCCGATATGACAGTAGACACATTCTATCCACACCAGGGGCGCTCAACCCTGTTCCTGGAGATCTACCTTCCTGCAGATTTCAGCTCCAACCTTGAACAAACACACCTGAACCAATTAGTTTAGAGCTGAACAACACTTAATTACAGGCAGGTGTGTTTGATATGGGTTGCAACTGAAATCCGCAGGAAGGTAGATCTCCAGGAACAGGGTTGGTCACCCCTCATCTACACACATTCTGTCCAAACAGCTAATAAAAGCTGATTTTGCATCATACTGTAGGCCCTTTAATGTTTTTAAGGCAACGATTTTTCTTGCTTATTTTTAAAGAAAAGTCAAGTAATTGGTTTGAAAGCAGCAGGTTTACTCAATTCTTAAAGTAAAGTACATCAAATTAATAACATTTTGTTGTTAGTCTAATAGTGCATGTGTCTCTAAACCACATTTTCCTTTTTAAATAATATTTTACATGTACATGAGACAAGCTTTATGAGAACTAAAATGTTACAGTATGCTTTCAACATTGCAGAAATTACCTTTTTTAATATGGTAATTCCCACATGTTGTCATTGCATGCACAGTATTGGATGCTGTGTGAATTTCAACACTTGCTACTAGCAGTCAGACTCAATCAAACCTATGTGGCTGTGTGAGACCACTTTAGTACAGTCATATGTCGTGGTTAGTTTAGAACCAGTGATTTGGGGAGTGATTTTGGCCTGTTAAGTGTGACTTGAATAGCGATGCGATGTTTCAGAAGTTGCTATTCGTGCTACAGATGGGTTTCCTGTTAGTGGTGTTTAAGCACCGCTGACTGCATAACAAGGTCAAAGATAACGGGGCGTTAAGGCAATGAGCGAATTTCAAATGGCATTTTTACACCCTTAAAGAGCACTATTTTAAAGCGATGCGGTTTCTATTTCCTATACAAAAAGCGAACAACTGAATCACTTCAGAGCGTCCTTAACTGAAGACTGTTAGCTAAGGGTCGACGCGAAGGTCACTTTGGGGAAGAAAGACTGTTGATCTGTGGTCATGTGGCCCGATGAGTCCTCGTGACTCATTTTAAAGCTAGATACAGCAGGAAAGTTCCAGTTAACTAACTTTTAAACAAAAAAATGAGGTTTTAGTATGTACTATTTAGTTCTAGATATATTGCTCACATTGGCATCTTGCATGTTGTAAGCAGATTCAAAGATTAAAATAGTGTTTAATAGCAAACATGTTAAAAGATTCTGTCTGCATTCTGCATTGAGGTACAGAGTATTAAGGGTTTTTGCTTTGCATGAAGTGTACCAAAAATTATACGGGGATCAAAAGAAGTTTTCTAAATGAAAAGTCCAAAATGTTCACAACATTAATACAACAGCAAGAAGTGAATTGAATCCATTTTTAATCAGAGGATTTGATAAACCTAACATAATTTGCCTAAACCTTAAATAAATAAACAGTTGAAATCAGAATTATTAGGCCCCCTAAATTATTAGCACCCCTGTTTATTTTTTTCCTCAATTTCTGTTTAACGGAGAGATTTATTTAGCACATTTCTAAACATAATAGTTTTAATAACTCATTTCTAATAACTGATTTATTTTATATTTGCCATGATGACAGTAAATAATATTTGACTAGATATATTTCAAGACACTTCCATACAGCTTAAAGTGACATTTAAAGGCTTAGTTAATTAGGGTAACTATGCAGGCTAGAGTAAATAGGCAAGTTATTGTATAACAATGGTTTATTCTGTAGACTATCCGAAAAAAATCTAGCTTAAAGGGGCTAATCATTTTGACTTTAAAATTGCTTTTAAAAAAATCAAAACTGCTTTTATTTATAGCCGAAATAAAACAAATAAGACTTTTTGTAGAAGAAAAAATATTATCTGACATACTGTGAAAATTTCCTTGCTCTGTTTAACATCATTTGGAAAATAAAAAAAAAAATCAAAGGGGGGGGCGGCTAATATTTCTGACTTTAACTGTATCTATAAAAATATATTAATTGGATTTGCTCACTTTTTTGCTTGTAAACAATATATATGAGCTGAATTTAAACAAACAAGTTAAGTTGAGCATTACTAAATTTAATTTTTTTGTTTAAATTCAGCCCATATAAACTGTTTGCAACAACTTAAAAATGTGTAAATCCAAGGAATCATTTTGTTCAGTGTATTAATAAGATTTTATCAGTGTTTATATGTTTTGAAAGCATTAATAAGCAAAATATTGTTTTACAAAAAAATTTAATAAACAAAATAATTTATTTTTTGACTATTCTAAGTTGAACAACTTTATTAATCCCACCAGGGGCAATTAAAGGGCAGTACCATCATGATACAACAAAAACATAAAGAGACAAATCACTTGCAAACAATATTAAAAAACACAATCCAGCAAGCTTCAAAATAACTTCATAAGTAGTACTTAAACCATTAAGAAAGGACCAATACAATTAAAAGTTTAAAATTTGCTAAAAAGTAAGGTTATAAAGCCTTATTGCCTCAGAAACAAAGGTGAATTTAAATCTGTTAGAAGAGCCTCTAATTCTTCTAAACCTTCTTCCAGAGGGCAACAATACAAAAAAGGCATCAGAGGATGGGAATCATCTCCTATCACACTTGAATTTTCCTTATGATTTGCTGTTCCTGTAGCTCTGCTAGACTCCGCAGAGGCAAACCAATAATCTTGGAGCAAGTCTTGACTTAGTTTTGAAGGAGATTTTTTTTTTATAACGGAAAGGAGAACCAGCATAAAAAGGAAAAGATTATTGTACTCTTAATATAGGTAGTATAAAAAAATCTCTGTGTATTTTGTGTTCTACACAGAAAGGGTTCAGTTTCCTAAGAGCATACATTCTCTGAAGCACTTTCTTAGTTACAACTTTTGAGTTCTGTTGGAACTTTAATGTAGTATCAAAGATTGTGCCAAGATACGTTTATTCCTGTATACTTGTTTTCCATTAAAATACACCTCAGGCATTTTTTTCTAAAATCAACTACCATCTCTTTTGTTTTTGTGATGTTTAGCTGCTCAGCTGCTTTGCATCATTAAAAATCTCATTATCGCTGTCATTACAATCTGTATTTGTTAACAGGAATAAAAAACTGTCTCATCAGCACATTCGACTATATGAAAATTGTCCTTAGTGCTGTGACATTTGTTTACAATATAAAAAGGATTGAAGGCAGTACGCAACCCTGTGGAGTTTCTATTGATGTAAAAAGCATGTCTGTAAACACTCCATTCTACATGAGTCTAAAACATTTTTGAGAAAATGTTTAAGAATATTGTTGGGGGAGTTTTACACTCTCAACGTTTTGATTTCTCCTGAAAATATCAAATTCTCTTTTCGTTTGGCAGGTTTCAGTGAGAGGAGGTGACGCCCAGGAGAAGAAATGCCGATACCTCCTCCCCCTCCCCCTCCCCCGCCCCCCACCTTCTCACAGGTAAACACACACACACACACACACACACACACACACACTTTTAATAGGACGGAATTCACTGTACAACTTTTTTTTTATGATAACAGATATAAAAATATTATCCTCATTGCTAGGACATGACAGCAATCACAAATGAAAAATTTATGGATTACTAAAGAAAGCAATATGTGTTTTTTTTTAACATTTATATCTTTCATCTGAATCGAATGACAGTCTGAAAGCTAATAAATCTGAATCTGTGCCCTTCACAAATTTCCCTGCAGTTTGTTAACTCAGCTGAGCAGAATCTGCTGACTGGATTTGTCTTTTTATAAAACATTTCCATGTGGAACTATGACAAAAATCAATACAAACGTTTTGTTGGGTATTCCAGCTACAGTGCTGGAATCCGGAAAGTATTCATGTTACAGCCTTATTCCAAAATGGATTAAATTAATTTATCTTCTCAAAATTCTGAACACAATAGCCCATAATGAGAATGTGAAAAAAGATTTTTTTAAATTTATGCAAATTTATTAAAAATAAAAAACCTGAAAAATCACATGTACACCAGTATTCACAGCCTTTGCTCAATACTTTGTTGATACATCGTTGGCAGCAAACATCTTCCACTTACGGATGTTGGAGGTCACTGTGCTCATTGAAACTTTCAGAGCAGCAGAAATGTTTCTGTAACCTTCCCCAGCCTTGTGCCTCAGGACAATCCTGTCTCGAAGGTCTACAGACAATTCCTTTGTCTTCATGCTTGGTTTGTGCTTTGACATGCACTGTCAACCCTGGGACCTTATATAGACAGGTGTATACCTCAAATCATGTCCAATCCACTGAGTTTACCACAGGTGAACTCCAATTAAGCTGCTGAAACATCTCAAGAATAATCAGTGGAAACAGAATATACCTGAGCTCAATTTGGAGTTTTACAGCAAAGGCTGTGAATACTGATGTACATGTGATTTTTCAGTTTTTTATTTTTAATAAATTTGCAACAATTTCAAATAATCATTTTTCACATTGTCTTTATGGGGTATTGTGTGTAGAATTTTGAGGAAATAAAGCTGTAACATAAAACAATGTGGAAAAAGTGAAGCGCTATGAAAACTTTCCGGATGCACTATATATATGCAGAGCATCATATTTTAATACAGCAAATGTCTGTGCTTGTATTTGCTTACAGGCCAACACAGAGAAGCCTGTCTTGAACAGATCAGAGCAGCAGGGCAGGAATGCTTTACTGTCAGACATCAGTAAAGGAGCCAGGCTGAAGAAGGCTGTTACAAATGACCGCAGTGCCCCCGTACTTGACAGTAAGAACTAGCCCCTTATGAGCTTACACTGTGGCTACGTTCTTGAACTAAAAACAACCTCAGCTTCATATTTTTGACCCCTGCACTGTAAAAAAATGATTAGTTGACTTCAAATAAGTGAGTTGGCTTCAAATCTTTAAGCAAACGTATCATGTGCATAATTATAAATATTAAGTTTAATCAACTTAACAGTTCCAAGTTATGACAGATTTACTTACAAGTAAAGTCAGCTTGTCGCATTTAAGGCAATGGGCTTCCTCACTTTTTTAAGCAAAGCAAATAATCACTTTTTGCAGTGTGTGTTTTCTTTAGAAACTATTTAGGGCTAACATTTCTGCATGAAAAACATTTGTGGTTTTGCTCTTCATTCCAAAATATTAAATACTTGTTTGTTTTGGCAGAACCCAAAGGTGGAGGAGGGCCTGGAGGGGGAGGCGGGGGCGGAGGAGGAGGAGGAGGGTTTGGTGGTGGTGGTGGTGGGGGTGGAGGAGGCGGAGGAGGTCTGGGTGGGCTCTTCCAGGGTGGCATGCCAAAGCTGCGCTCCACTCGAGATGGTAAGAACAAACACACACACACACACGCGTTTGTTAAACGTACTACTGTGTTTACTAATTCATTTCTTCAGCAGGGATTGATTATAGACATTTTGCACTTTTTACACCCCTTTTTACACCCTTGCACATTTTTGCGACCCCTTGCACTGCAAAAACTCTCTATCTAGTCAAAAGTTTAAATTTTATTTCTAAAGGCAAAAAAATCTTGTTGATCTTGTGTTAAGAATAAAAAATTAATCTTTTTTTTTACTTTAATAAAGCTTAAATTTATGTATTCTGCCTACAAATTTAGTTCAATTACAATGAGATATAGCTATTTACGACCAGCTATGTATTTTTAAGACTTAATTTCAGCTGTAATAACTTGTTTTAAGTTTGCCTATTAAAAAGGCTCAAGAATCGCACTTATTCGTATTTTATCTGTCGTAGCTATTTTTAAAATTGTCTATTTATTCATTAATGTTTGTGTGGTCTTGATTTAATTCATACAATAATCTTGTTTAAAGCTTTGTTTTAAGACAGAAAGAGGAATCCTCCTGTTTATTAATTCTAGTTTTAAGAGATCATCACACAAAATCAGAAAAGCATACAGTTTGAAAAGCTAGTTTTAAGATAATTCAACTAAATTCATTGCCTTATTTTAACAATGTTTTCTTTATTAAAGTCTAGATGAGTTTTCTTGGGTTTCCCAGCATAAAACATATGCCAAAGTTGTTGATGGTTCATTCCGCTGTGGTGACCCCTGATAAATCAGGGACTAAAGGCTGATTTATACTTCTGCGTCAAGCGCACGCACATGGTCCAGCGCAGCCTTCACACGGCCTCATAGCTTTTGCTGTGGCTGATGTGGACACATACCTCTTAAAAAATGTAACGATGCGTAGTGCAAGCTCTATGATTGGTCAGCTTGGTAGCTGTGATGAGTGTGGGCGGTGCTGAGAACCGTGAGCCAGATGGAGCAAGTGTTTACAAGTGTCGAGACCATTAATGACGCTCCAGATGGAAACTTTTGTTTTGTGTTTACCTTGTGATTAAAGTTATTGCACGTCTGCAGGTTCTTGCCTCTGAATAAGTGAGTTTTAGCTACTCGTACATTAAGGTAGTGCTCAGAAAAAACAAAACACCCAAGAAGAAAGTTGACACAGAGGAACATAAAAACCCGCTGCCAGCTAGTGCTTCGGAAGTGTTATTGCAGAGTATGAGTATAAATGCACGGCCATGCCCAAGGCAAGCACCGTGGGTCACGCCGATCACTTGATGCAGAAGTATAAACCAGCCTTAAGCCGAATGAATGAAATTAATGTTATAATCTTCCTGCACTGGCAGATAATTTCACTTGTTCCTAGTCTGTATCATTTATTATTTCACTTATTGCTCATATTTAAATGATTAATTTTTTGCATTGTGCACCAATTAGATTATCTGGTTATGAAATAGTTTGCTCTCTCTTTCAGACTCTGTGAGTGTCAGGCCTCCGGTTCTGCCACCTGTAGCTCGTACCACAGGTCCGCGGCCTTTTGGTGGAGGATCTGGCTCTGCCCCTCGTCTGCCTGTGCAGCGCAGTGAATCTTTTGATCCTCCACGGGCACGAATGACTCCACCACGTCCCGAAACGCCAGGAGGGCCTCCTCCTCCTCTTCCAAGTGCCCCCCGACCCTTCCAGAGCAGTACACAGAGCAGGGGGCCACCCGCACTACCAGGCACTCCCCGCTTTGGCTCTGCACCAACCCCTCCACCCCCAACCCTTCCTGGGCGTCAGCCTGCACCTCCACCAGTGCCAGGTGGGATAGGTCGTCCTCCATCAGTTCCTTCTCCTTCGACTGGTCATGCCGGAAGGCCTCCACCTCCTCCTGCACCTGGTCGGGGTGAAGACCGCCCTCCTCCTGTTCCCCCTGCAAACCGCTCAATGCCACTGACGCGGGACAGCCCTCCCCCTCCACCTCCTCCATCAGCAAGCAGTAAACCGACTCCCCCTCCAGCTCCTTCTCCTGCCTGCTTGAGGCCACCGGTGAGTGCAGCCCCTCCACTGCCGCCAGGTCGCCCAAGCCCAAATACTCCAGATGAACATACGCCACGACTTCCTGAACGAAACCTGTCACTAGCCTCACATCCGCCCGCACCTCCGCCAGGGCGATCCGGACCCCTTCCTCCACCTCCCTCCGAGAGACCGCCTGCGCTGGGCAGAAATGCAAGTGGAAGATCAGGTATTGAAGGAGGTGCAGGTTTTTACAGGATGATCCCAAAATCGTCTTTTTGGTCATCTGTATTTGTGTTTGCATCCACAGGTCCTCTTCCGCCTCCACCTCCTTCTGGCCGGCCAGGAGGAGGAAGTATGAGGTCATCGCCAGCTCCTCCCCCACCAAACAGACCGGGTGTAGAGACTCACCGTGGGGGCAGTAGGCCACCACTTCCTCCAGACAGACCTTCCTCTGGACCTCTGCCGCCACCTCCTGCACCTATAGGCAATGGATACCACAGTCAGCATCATATAGGTATGGGGACAGTCTTTATGTTTGTGTTTAGTCATTCAAGGGCCATGAATCCCACCTGTCTTAGCAGGGTGATTTCACACCTCTAGTCTGAAAAAAGTCAGGAAAGTGGGAGTGTCGGGGGGAAAAGAGGGAAGGGTTTGCATAAAAGAGTTTCAGTTTGGGCACACGGTGATTTTCACAGCGGCAAAACAAACACAGACGCAGGGGAGAAAGACAGTGACTGTTTACATGGACATCAGTAATCGAATTATTTGCCAAATTCTTGATTTGTCGACTTTAACTGCAGTTTGGCACTTTCCCTTTCATTCAGGAACATTTCAAGTATGGCCCCGTGACAAACGAGATATTGGATGCGAGGAACTGCTGGAAGAGTGTAGTTTTAATGTAATGTTTGATACCGCAAGTCGTATGAGAGAAAAAAAATAAACCTCTGAACTTCTTTGTAACTTAGACTCGGTAGGTAGCGTCAGAGAGCCTTGTGTGTACAGACTATCCTGTCATCCTATCCTTGCGAAAATCCTGCACAACAGTAATTGTTTGATTAAGGTGTTTACATTTGGAGAGCAGCATTTACAGCAGATCTTTAAGTCTATAATATTGTAGTTTTATTACTGTACTGTAAACTTAGTAACTAAATCATTTTGACTAAGATATGCGTTTAAAAACTGAAAGAGTACTGCTGACGATACTAACTAACTTTGCCTCTGAATAAACAAAAACACTGATCGCTTACTTACCAAATTTGTAGAGACAGGACAATCAACACCAACTGAAACCGCGTCTTTTTTAAAAGGAGACGAGCGGCAAATCCGGATTTCACCATTTCCAGATGCAAAAAGCTCTCGGGTAAAAAATGTTCCTTTATAAACATATTTTTGTTGCGTGTTAGTGACCGCTGTAATACACACGTGAGTCCAGACATCCAGTCTACATGCTGGAATACACACAAGGATCTAATTGCCGTGACGCAGCTTCAAAATATCTTTTCAAACGGGAGGAATGAATTTGCTCGAAATTATTTAAAAACAACAAATTTTCACTTTTTAGTGAAATGTATGCATCCTAATTATGTTTTTAGCGACGTGGGACACGTATATGTCAACATTTCAACAAATGTGTTTTGGTGTTTTGTGACCCTTTAACCCTTGTGTGTCATTGGAGATGCTCTCATCCACTCTGGGGGGATTTTTAAGGCTTAATTTGGCCACAACTTACTCTGTGTTTCAGAAAATGGAATGTTTTTTTGTGAAAAATCTTATTTTGACATATTTTGGGAAAATGCTTTGCATTTTTATTTTATTTTTATTTTTTTACTCAACAATACTCTCTGGTCAAATTTATTACCCTTTCGTTATGTTGGTGGCTGTTTTTGCCCCATTGACTTCCATTATAATGACATTTTTTTGATTGCAAAGCCAATATAATCATACATTCTTAATTGTTGATGGTTTTCCCTGTTGGGAAGAGGAACAATTTTTGATTTTTACTGTTGATCATTAGTTGACATCATTAACCCCATAGATAGCCTGTGCAAAAAAAGTACTAGATGCAGAATTCAGAGGAAAAGCCCAATACAATATGTTACTCTGGGGTGTTTTGGATTTTTAGTGAACGAGAAGATTCACTTCACCCATTTAAATGTTAAATTTTGGTTTCAAATTACTAAGAAAGTGGTCCTCCCAATGCTGATATCAACCTTATTCTGCGATGTGGAAGTGCGCTCATTTTAGAACTTCCAATTCAGCTGCATATGGTAGAAATGACTAGGAATAGCAAACGGTCAAACTACTTGCTCTACAAACAAGTGTTTGCATGATTATACAGACAAAGCAGAATCATGTAATAAGAAACTATCAGTTTGCAACTTCAAGCAGCATAACGAGCTGTTTTAAACATCTAAAAAGGAATGGAAGTGAATGAGAACGGAAGCCTCAAGCCAAAAACATTTAAATGGCTGTGCCGGCCCATACGCAAAGAATAAGGTGAATAGGGCAGCTTTTACTCTAGATATTGGAACATGACTGTGAGGATTCATCTCAGGCATTAAACCAGTAGAAATGGTGTTGGACATCAACATTGGTTTCTGGTCCCAGTTCCAAATCATTCCAAAGTTGTTTAGATCTGTGCTTGCTAGTTACAGACAGCTTTGTAAAGCATCTTCCTAGAGGCATTGTATGACAGTGACAAAAGAGACTACCTGTTAGTAGTGGGTGTAGCTGAAATATCCAAATCTGCTAATTGCAAGGAGGAACATACTTTAGGCCATTTAACACAATAAGCCACTGTTGCTTCCTTTTGGACAAACGAATTTTTGCACAAAGAACTAGTAGTAAAAATATCTCTACTCATACTGTCAGTGTTGGATAAATTTACTTCTAATACAGTGCTCAGCATATATGTGTACACCCCCACAAACGTCTCATTTAAATTTATTTTCTATAGGATGCTTTATTATATTTGCGCATATACATTAGTTCAGTCAGTACTGAAGCAAAATCTGGAGCTTATCTAACAAAATAACTAGTCCAAAAATGAATAGCCTAAATGTACAGTATATGTTAGGGGAAAATATTCAAGAAAATTTTAAAAAGAGCTAAACTTTTTCTCTGCAATATTTTGCTTGACTTTAATTGTATTATCTTTTCATTCCTAAAGATGTTCTGTGTAAAATATTATTTTAATAAATATATCCTTTTAATAAATCTGTTTTGTTTAAATGCACCACTATATAATACCCATATTCACTGAGAAATGGATACAAATATTTGAAATGGAGTGGACGCTGAAATGGAGAATGGGTGCTGGGCACTGTATATTATAATGATAAGCTTGTCTTAATCTAAAAAATGCTAAAATAACAACCCATACTTTCACTTTCATTTCTTAAAAAGGATCTTTACCCAACACTGCTATACTATGTGAAAACGATTTGCTTCCACAATAAAAATACAGACGATTTGTCAAGCACACTACACAGTTTCTCTGCTATTGAATTGTCTATATTATTTCTCTCTGAAAATAGAGTGATAAAAAATTCTGCATGAAAAATTGGTTGTATTTTTTTTAAACTGTTTACTGGTGTCTCATAATTGTTCCGAAATAAATGTGCATTACATTTACATCACACACCCGTGTACCTATAATACATTACATAACCTAACCTAACGTACTTAAAGAGATAGTTCAACAAAAATCTTTTACTTGTTATAAGCCTGTTTCTTCTCAGATCTTATTTTGTGTTTAACAAAATAGAGAAACTCAATTTTAAGGAAATAAAGATTTTGGGGTGAGCTATCATTTTAATGAAATATAAATTAAAGCACTTTTGCGCTAATATACCACATTTCTTCTTTTAAACGTTACAGTTTACTGCATGTCTCAGATGTTGTCAGTAGCTCATATACTAACCCTGCCATACTTCAGGAAGTGTATACGACATATATTCTAAAGGTGTGTGTGTTTGATTTGTTTCTTCAAGATGAATGGGAATCACGCTTCACATTCCGGCCTGTATCGGATCTTCCACCCCCAGATCCCTACATCCCCTGTCAAAAGACCTACCCCAGCAAAATAGTGCGAAATGAAAGCCGAGGTAACCAATCCCAGTCATCTTATTCCCTTTTTTTTTGCTGTGCACATAGACAAAGCTGACCCACAGCTGTCGCTTTCCCATGCCAGTGAATGTTTTGAATAACTCTCAGCACAATCGTGGCCTTATCCATTTGTTTATGTGCCTACGTGTGTGTTTCTGTCTGTTTCAGGTTCAGGGAAGAAAGAGCGAGGAGCACCTCCCCTGCCTCCTATACCTAGGTGAAAAAGAAAAAGGCCTGACAATCCTTCCCTTTCCTGATTTTCTAAGTTTCTCTGGAACTGTTTGTTTCTGTGATGTTGTTTTTTCTGCCAGAGTAATTCATTAAAATATATATAAAAAAATCATGTATAAAAGAAGTATAAAAACAGTTTTCTGTTAAAACACCCCTTATTCTATACAGTTTTGTTGTTGTTTGCTTCAGAAATGATTCTCAATTGCTTTTTTGCCTGTCGAGTGATGAGTTACAATAATACTAAAGCTAAGTTTGACTGTTTTGTTTTTGAATGAGAAGAATTGTTGTGCCATTTATTGTCCCTCAGGGACATGCTGAAAGTTTTAGGAGTTTGCCACTTCTACTGTTTTGATGTTTATGTCTAAGCAATACACTTCTCAAGGATATAATGAAAAACTTATAGGCCTTTGGGTGCAGGATATCGTCGTATTTCGATGAGTTTTGGCGCCCTCTGGCTGTTTTTATACAACAACACAGTAGCAAATTAGCATCTACTTTTTAAGCTTCCAATGGCAGTAAAATCAGGTAACTTGAACAAAATGTCAGGTAACTTGAAGTGGCTGACTGAAATGCTCACGTAATAATATTTGATAGAAAAACGTTTGCTTTAGTTATGTGGTGATAAAGGACAAAAAGTTACACAGAACACTGAATATTGTGTGAATGGTACTAGCATCAGATGTATTAACATACAAGTCCTTATGTGAAATTAGGAGGGACTGAATTCATGGAGAACTGTAGATGGCCATTATTAGATTTATAGATCACTCAAAATCAAAACAATTTCTCACCAAACTCAAGTGGTTCTTAGCAATTTATGAATTTCGTGTGTTGCACACAAAAAACATGATAATCTGAAGATTTGTTCTTGAGGGAAAGCAGCCTTTTCATTTTTAGGGGGGTGAACTACGCCTTTAAATGCTCTGCAGATCATTTTAACAAGTCTTGGAGCTGACATATGACTATTCCTGATAGATATAAGCCAAAAATGTGTTTAAAAAATGTTGTATGCACTTGCTTATGTTGCTAATGTTAGCTCAGTATTACGTTGCCTTATATGTATATTTTTCAGATGTTTACTATTATATTTTACAGTGCTTGACTTAAAGTATAATCAGAAAGCGTATTATACCTTGAGCTGCATTTAATATGTTTTCTTCATTTGTGTACTTGTAGTGAAAGAATCAAAAGTCCAGGTTAATGCTGCCTTTTGTTTGTTTACATGGGAATGGCCTTTAAAGAAACATTAAAAAATCACTTAAACAAGAGAGAAGCACAGCCAAAAAAGACACAATATGTGGCACCAACATTATTATTAAAACTAAGGCATGATTTATTATGTTGTGCTTGCAAAGATATTGCGGTATGATCAAAAGCTTGCGATGGTTCACCCAGAAATGAAAATTCTGTCATTTACTTGCCCGTCTCTTTGATTTTATTTCTTCTCTTGAAAAAGAAGCTTTAAAAATGTTTGAAAGCAGTAGTCATTGACTTCCATAGTATGTTTTCTATTAATGTCAGTGGTTACTGGTTTTCAAGTTCTCTTGAAAAAAAGCTTTAAAAATGTTTTTTAAACCAGTATCCATTACTCCATAGCATTTCTTTTTTTTTTTTAATGAATGTCAGTGATTACTGTTGCTCAACATTCTTCAAAATATCTTCTTTTGTGAAAAAAAAAAAACATTTGAGGGTGAGGAAATAATACCAGAATATTCATTATTGCGTGAACAATCCCTATAGGCTAACATGGTACGGTAATGTTCACTTTGTGCCTTAATATAGCTACAATTTTAGTTCATACAACGTTATGTTGTTTAATTTGTATTTTTTACTATACAGTAATACAAAAAAGAGCTATTCTTGTGTGCCAAATGTGCTGTTTTCTAAATAAACATGCAAGCAAAGCTGGATTTTGTATTTCATTTTATTTAACGCTCATTTCTATGCGTTTCATTTGTTGTGAAGCTGTTTTCAGTATGCTGACTGCACACAAATGTTCTTTGTATGTTTTGTTGTTGTTTGATTTCAGTGCACTTTTTTTTCAGAAATTCTGAAATAAATTAAGAAAATGAAACACACTTCATTCAAACAAGAAATACCAGGTAAACAATGCCCTAGAAGATTCCCTCAGTACTAATATTAAAATGTCATTTACTCTCAGTTCTCCTACAAACCTCTTTGATTTTCTTTCTGCTTTTGAAAAAGAAGCTTTAAAAAATGTTTTTGAAACCAATTGTCATTAACTACTATGCATGTCAGTGATTACTGTTGCTCAACATTCTTCAAAATATCTTCTTTTGTGAAAAAAAAAACATTGGAGGGTGACAATAACGAACAATCCCTATAGGCTAATATGGTACGTTAATATGTTCACTTTGTGCCCTTATATGGCTACAATTTCAGTTCATACAACGTTATGTTGTTTAATTTGTATTTTAGTATACAGTAATACAAAAAGAACTATTCAAGTGTGCCAAATGTGCTGTTTCCTAAATAAACATGCAAGCAAAGCTGGTGTTTGTATTTCATTTTATTTAATGCTCGTTTCTATGTGTTTCGGATGTTGTGAAGCTGTTTTCAGTATGCAAACTGCCCACAATGTTCTTTGTATGTTTTGTTGTTGTTTGATTTCAGTGCACTTTTTTTCCAGAAATGCTGAAATAAATGATAATGAAACGTACTTCATTTAAAATAAGAATTACCAGGTAAACAAGGCCCCAGAAGATTCCCTCAGTACTAATATTAGCGGCAATATGACGCCCATCCACTAGCGCGCGTGACTGTAGCCAATCGAATGCAAGTGTTCCATCTATTTCGGCATAGTTCCTACATTTCCGCCAATCAGCGCCATGATCAGATGAACTAAGGCGGGGCTTTTCGACAACATAGGCGGAATCTCGCGTCAGTCATTCAGTGATTTGACATTGAAAGTAACGGAGTGCTGAAGCGCTCGTGATGCTGTGAGCAGAGTGTAAGCATGGATGTTTCTACTGTGTTTTTCTTTAATGACATTATATACAATCCATGTATCGATCATCTCGACACCTGAACGCACGGTACGTCTTCAACAGTCGCTATTTTTATCATGTATTTTCTTTTGCGAGATATTCCTGCCAAATGTAGCTATTTTGATGTGTACTCAATGGCCTTGTTTATAAGAAATAACATTTATGTCTATTTCTGAATAAACTTTAACGGTTTTGATGTTGTATACATGTTATTATTGTTGTTGTTATTATTATAGACTACAATTCGCCAGTATCCAAATTTATTTTTCATTTAATTAAAATTAAAATCAACGATTTGTTGTTATCGTAATTTAAATGATTGTTGATGTGTTATTGTTGTGGTCATTATTAACAGCAATATCCACAATTAACTATAGTAAAACTATGTTTAATTAATAGTTGTCATTTAATTGGAATTTTAGGATCCATGGTTTGGGTAATACAAGTGGGAACAGTTTTCTGTGTTTATTATTTTTATTAATCAATATAAAATATTGATTTAATATTAGCCATTTATATGACTTGTTATACTTGGGTTACAGTTTATTTAGTACATGTTATGTAAAATTTTAATACAGTGAATTCGTTTAATTTCATTATAATATAACATGATTTTTTTTGCACAATAAAATAAATATCTAGTGCAATTATAACCCTAAATCAGAAAAAGTCGAGACAGTATGAAAAACGCAAATAAAAAGAAAGTTGTGATTTCTGTATAAAACAGCACATTATTTAATGTGTTCCTCGTAATGTTTTTTAATAAACACATATTCTAATTTTGGTTCTTGCAACACAAAAAAAAGCTGGAACAGTAAAGCATTTACTACTTTGTAATGTTGGCATTACTTTCACAACAATTAAAAGACATTTAGGGGCTGAAGACACCAAGTGATGAAATATTTCAGGTGTAATTTTGCAAACACGTCTTAAGGTAGGCAACAGTATGAGGTCTTCGTTGTTGCATTTTGCACTTGAAAATGCGCCACACATTCTCTATTGGAGACAGGTCGGGACTGCAGGCAGGCCAGTCACCTGTCTCTACATTTGCAGCCTGGACATTTTGTAACGAGTACAGAATATGGTTTTGCATTGTCTTGTTGAAAAATGCATGGGCGTCTCTGCAAAAGAAGTCTCTGCAAAATCTCGATGTACTTTCCACCATTAATGGTGCAATAACAAGTGCAAGTTACCTTTGCTAAGGGTACTGACACAACCCCATATCATACTAAACCCCTTTCTTTTAGACTTGTTGCTGGTAACAGTCTGGATGATCCTTTTCTTTTTTGGTCTGGAGCACACAGCATCTATTTCTACCCAAAATACCTGAAATACTGATTCATCTGACCACAGTACACATTTCCGCTGTGTGAGGGTTCAAAGTTGCTTCTGATCCAAGAGAAGTGGACTGTGCTTCTGAACACTGTTAACATAGGGCTTTCTTTTGGCACAGTAGAGTTTTAACTGGCATGTGTGGATGTCATTACGAATGTGGTACTTGACAAAGGTTTGCCAAAGTAGTGCTGAGCCCATGTGGTGATATCGCAATATGCCACCTGAGGGATCAGATATCACAGTTGTTCAGCGTAGACTTGCGCCCTTGTCTTTTCACGCTGAAATTCCTCCAGATTCCTAGAATCTTTTAATTAAGTTTTGCACGGTTGAAGGTGAAATATCCAAATGTCTTCATATCTTTCTTTGAGGAACATTGTTTTTAAACAATTCATTCATTTTCTCAGGTATTTGTTTGCAAACTGGCGATCCTCAGCCTATCTTTGCTCCTAAAGGACTAGACCTTTCTTGGATGCTACTTTTGTAACAAATAATCCTTAAAGTCACCTGTTGACATCACCTGTTTGAAAATGCATCATAATTTAACCAGTTTACCTGATTTCTTAGAATATGTTTCAGGTCTGAGTTACAGGAAAGGATGTATATTTACAAATGAAATGAAGACATGAAATATTTTGTGTTCATATTGTCTGCAGTGAAATACAAGTCAAAGTAAATTTGGAAACCACTACTTTATTTTTTCATACTATACTGTCCCAACTTTTCAGATTTGAGGTTGTATAACAAGGTTGCTATTAGGCTTGGGCGGTAATACGGAAGAATGGTATACCATGGTATCTAAAAATAGCAACGGTATCAGTTTCAATACCGTTATACCATCATAAAAACAATGCACCTATTTAGGAGACAAAGAATAAATGTTAAATATAATTTATTTAATGGCTAAAGAGACGTATGTGTGGTCGTCATCACGGGACAGCGTGGAGGAGAAAGAGAGAGCTGGGGAAAGATGGTGAGGTACAAACTAAGTGGCTTGGTCTCGAAAAAAACACAACTTCTGCAGTTTGGCAGTATTTCAGATTTCGATCAAACGAGAAGGTAGAGGCGGTAAATACGGACGAGGCAATTTGCAAATTGTGCAACAAAAGTTGAACGCGAGAGATGGAAATATCTCAAACCTAAAGTTGCATATACCAAACTACTAGGGATGCACCGATATGGATTGTTTGGCCGATATCGATAACCAATAACTCTTCAGACTTGGAGGCCGATAGCCGATATATATAGGCCGAAAGTTATAAATAATATGATGAATGTTATAAATATAAAATGTTATATTTTTATACAGCAAACTTCATGAAATATTGAACTGCTCTTATGAACGGAATAGTCTATATTTAAAACAAACAAGCTATAATTTCAAAATTGCAAGGTGATTATATAGACTAATGTTCACGATTTCTCATAAATCACATGCCAAAAATAAATTATTTCCTTTTCTTCATTGCAAATTAACATGCAGCTTGACTGTTGCATAAAAAATAGGCTAAATAACAAAATGGGATTTAATCAACAAGCAAGTTTAATATATTTAAAAAAAAGGACTGAAATCAGCTCATATGTTGTTGAATAAAACGTGTTACAGTAATGTACATATGAACAAATGTGTCATGTCCGAAAAAGCCTTTTTTAGAGGTGTTTTGACAGTTCAGAGCCACCGGACAAGCGAAAAGCTGAATACAGATTATATTACTTGAGAAAATGCGGCATAAATTCATCCTGTTCGGCGTTTTAGATTCTTTTGAACATGTAGCTGCTGCTTGTCAATCAGAAAACGCTTCTATGTTTGTTCTTGCTGTCTATTGCAGCAAAAATGATCGATGAAAAGTTTATAATAAACCGTTGAGAGTTATAATCAATATGAATATTCCGATTAAACTGAATACAATCTTACATCAACAACACATGGCAAGCAAGGCATTGATAATAACAAATAATCATATTAGATTACAAACAACCCAACGAGTTGTTTAGCACGTGTGCATCTCTGCTGTTATGTTTACACAAGTAATATTTTTTCCTAAGGTGATTTCAACAAAAATACACAATGACACTATCAAACATATCTACAATGATGAGGAATACAGTTACTTACTGAGTTATTAACGCACAGCAATACCACATGAAGAAAGGACGGACTTTGAAGGAATAAACAAAGTGAGGAGAGATCCATTATAGTGCACTGAACAAGTCGGAAAAAGTTCCACCTACGCATGCGCGAGGCAGGCAGTTCTGTACAATTACGTAATTTATCGGCTTAAAGATATCAAACTAATTTAGACATCGGATCGATAACGATAATCTCAAAAATAGCATTTATCGGCCGATAACGATATGGCCGCCGATATATTGTGCATCCATAGAAACTACCATCTGCTAACTGCTGTGAAGATGAACTCGACTTCACTCAGTGGAACAGTTTTATTGCCTCCTGATGCAAGACCAACAACATCTAGGTCCACCGCCAGCCGATGGTAATAGGGGCCTTCGGGAAAACAACAAAGTACAAAAGGGACAGTGTTAGTCGGAAAACCTGTACTGATGTTGTGACAAAATACTAGACGAAGGAAATGGTCTCTTTCCACAAAATAGGGAAAAAAAAGGTCCTTTAAGGACATAAAATAAAATTGACTTGTGTGCACGAAAACTTCTGGCCGTTTATGTTAATTCAATTCTGTTTGACTGTTGTATTTGCACTTTTTTTATTTATAAACTGCTATTTGTTGCTAAGAAAAGTTGTTAATATTGTTGTGCATGCTTTTTTGTTTTTGTTTCAGTTTTAGAGTTTGGTATTCAGTTTCTAAACAGTTCAGGCACAAGCCAACAGTTTAATGATGCTGTCTGAGTCTTACGTAATAATTTTTTATTATTCACGGTAATGCCGTATACCGAGGTCCAATAGGGAGAAGGTTTGACGGTATCAAAATTTAGAGACTGCCCAAGCCTAGTTGCCATTAAAGTGTCATAAGCAGCAATATATAAAGCAGTGTCCATGATTTCACATATTTTCATCTTTTTTCTGTATCATTTTTAATTCCAGCTTTCTGATCTGCACCATTAGCTCATTTCTTTATCATCATGGAGGGCCTGTATGTGTCCATCCATGGCCTTAACGTCACCCACAGCCCTCTCGGAGCGCCAGCCATGTCCATAGACAAGCTTTTCCCTGCCCTGCTGGAGTGCTTCGGCATCATCCTGTGCGGTTACGCGGCAGGTCGCAGTGGCATCATCAGCGCGGCGCAGGTCAACGGTCTGGGCAGCTTCGTGTCGTGTTTCGCTCTCCCTGCGCTGCTTTTCAAGAACATGGTGCAGCTGCAGTTCCAGCACGTCGTCTGGTCTTTTCTGTGGAGTGTTTTGATCGCAAAAGTGTGCGTGTTCACGCTGGTGTGTGTGCTGACGCTGCTGGTGGCTGATCCTGAGAGCAAGTACAGTAAAGCTGGGCTGTTTGCTATCTTCGCCACGCAGAGCAATGACTTCGCTCTGGGATATCCTATAGGTGAGGACCTGCTCACACACATATGCAAGCATGCAAATATGCAAAATGAGTTTTTCCAGAGAAGGCAGTGTCTTCTTTTTTAATATATTTATTTTTCAAACAAATCAGAACAAAAAACACTTTCAAATGACAACATTAAAATAGGAAAATACAAACAATATCAGTTCCTAGGTAGCTGGATACAGTCTTAAAGGTCCCATGAAGTGCTTTAAAATGTGCATTTTAATTCAGTGTTTGACCTGATCTCAACTGAAACACGAAGAGAGGGTGTGACATGGTGTAGCTCCTCCTCTTTTTAAAAACAGCCAATAGCATTTTGCTTTATCACCACTCTGTCAGTAAAAGTGGTTGAGCTCCAGTGCATCAAATGAAAAGCAAATAAAAAGCATCTTGAAGGGGGCGGGGCATGTCAGATACTTGGGAGCTTTTGATTGGTTATGATTTGATGAGAATCTGAAGTATGAGGGGTCGTGAAAAAAAAACGCTAATCCATTTAGGCGGAAGTAAAAAACTGCAAGCTCTACATGTTTATATTAGTTTTATATTTTCTAAACACAAATGTTGTCTGTTTTGGAGCACAGTAGCTCATATATATCTTAAAATTGAACAATACTAACATCTGAAAAACTTATGTTTAATTTCATGGGACCTTTAAGTACTTTCATACATTCATAAGTATTTATTTTTTATCAGATGCTGCCATATAAGGGTCACATATCAAAGATCAGAAATCTCATGAGGGAGGATTCCGGATACATATAAATAAAAGCACCAGGGGCGGACTGGCCATAGGAAGCACAGGGACATTTCCCAGTGGCCTGATGTCAGTCTGGCCTGCCAACGTGAATCTGGCCTGCCCAGACTTATGATCGATAAACAAGGCCATTGAATACAGATCCAAATATGTACATTTGACACAAAAATACAAAATATATACAGTGCCTCCAGAAAGCTTTCATAGCGCTTGACTTTTTCCAGATTTTTCTGTCATAGCCTTATTCCAAAATAAAATAAATGTATTTATTTCCTCAGAATTCTACACACAATACCCCATAATAACAATGTGAAAAAAAAACATTTTTTTAAATTGTTGCAAATTTATTATAAATAAAAAAGCAGAAAAATTACATGTACATCAGTATTCACAGCCTTTGCTGTGAAGCTCAGGTACATTCTGTTTCCACTGATCACTCTTGAGATGTTTCAGCAGCCTAATTGGAGCTCACCGGTGGTAAACTCAGTGGATTGGACATGAATTGAGGTATACACCTGTCTATATAAGGTCCCAGGGTTTACAGTGCATGTCAAAGCACAAACCAAGCATGAAGACAAAGGAATTGTCTGTAGACCTCCGAGACAGGATTGTCTTGAGGCACAAGACTGGGGAAGGTTACAGAAACATTTCTGCTGCTCTGAAAGTTCCAGTGAGCACAGTGACCTCCAACATCCGTAAGTGGAAGATGTTTGGAACCACCAGGACTCTTCCTAGAGCTGGCCGGCCATCTAAGCTGAGTGATCAGGGGAGAAGGGCCTTAGTCAGGGAGGTGATCAATAACCCGATGGTCACTCTGTATGAGCTTCAGCATTCGTCTGTTGAGAGAGGAGACCCTTACAGAAGGACAACCATCTGTGCAGCAGTAAACCAATCAGGCTTGTATGGTAGAGGGGCCAGACGGAAGCCACTCCACGCCTGAAATTCTGCAAAGAGGAATGGGCAAAAATTGCCAAAGACAGGTGTGCCAAGCTTGTGGCATCATATTCAAAAAGACTTGAGGCTGTAATTGCTGCCAAAGATGCATCAACAAAGTATTAAGCAAAGGCTGTGAATACTAGTGTAGATTTGATTTTTCAGGTTTTTATTTTTAATAAATTTGCAACAATTTAAAAAACTCAATATTCACATTCTCATTCTGGGACACGTTTAGTTAGCCATACCTTTTTTACATAAATAATTGCATAATAATTACATTGTTGAGATATGGATGTAGATAAGACGTCTCATTTTGCATTCTGCATCAAATTAAATTTACAAAAAAGGTATTTCACATAAATAGTTCACAATCATGTTCGATGCAAGTGCTCATTCATATAATTTTCCTCGAAATTAAATTGCAGAATATGGGTGAAATAGTGATAGATCATTATTCAGTGTAACAGTAAAATTCAAATGGTATACTTGACCAGTACCTATAAATGTATAAAATTGACAGTTCATTAATATTTTAGGGCTGCTTTGTGACAATACAGTCTTTTAATGTTTCAAATTATTCTTCTTCTAAAAATGCATGTCAATATCTATGTGTTATTTAAACTATTGTTGTTATACTGAATGACATAGTGAGTGTCTTCTGTAAATCAGGGTGAAAATGCCTAATAATTATAATAAAAAAAACACATTGTAATGTATAGGGAAAAAATAACGCTGCATATGTTTATTGCTTTGATGCTTTTTAATTCCCTTTACATATTCGACTCTTATTTATATGACTAAACAAATGTCAACATGAAGTGTAAAAGGACTTCTCAGGGCCTCCTCATCTGAGATGCAGACACAGAAAAGCTGTTATGTGATTGATGATGAGCTGGGGTTGTTTCTGCAGTGGATGCGCTGTACAGAAACTCTCACTCGGAGTATGAGCAGTACATCTATCTGGTGGCTCCTGTGTCGCTGATGCTCCTCAACCCTGTGGGCTTCGCTCTGTGTGAGATCCAGAGATGGAGACACAGCAGTGATCCAAACTACAGCAAACTGCACGTCATCTTCACCGTCACACTGCAGGTGTGTATTCATCATCATCATCATCCAGAAGTTTGTTTTTTATACAAAAAACTCATCTAGATTTAAACGGATGAGTATTATTTTTTTTTATTGTTCAGGCGATCTCCATGTCTAGCAGGATCACTTTTAGCTTTGCTTAGCATAGATCATTGAATCGGATTAGACCATTAGCATGTCATTCAAAAATGACCAAATTTTTTTCGATGATTTTCTTATTTAAAGCTTGACGATTGTGTAGTTACATTGTGTATTAAGATGGACGGAAAATGAAAAGTTGCTGTTTTTTTGGTTGATATGGAGAGGAACTACTCTTATTCCAGAGTAATAATTAAGCAACTTTACTGCTGTAGCAGGTGAAAGGATATTATGCAACACCTGAAAATAGTCCCCAGCACCAAGCCCTACACTTGCCCCACTAGTTATATTCTGTGTAATATCATTGTACCTGCAGCAGCCATGGTACAGAGGCAAATTTCTTGATTATTGCTTTACAGAAAGAGAGTATATTGTAGTTCCTACGCATATTGACATAGAAAATAGCATCTTTTCATTTTCCGTCGATCATGGTACACGCTGTCATTACAGAAGAGTCAAAACTTAAGTAGGAAATTTTGATCATTTTAGAAATGTCAGACATTTTTGAGTGAGAGGCTAATGGTCTAATCCGATTCAATGATTTATGCTAAGCTAAGCTAAAAGTGCTCCAGGGCCCGCTTTTTCAAAAGTAATCCACTAGGATTTTGCATAAGGGATTGGATCAAATCTTGAAAATGGGATTAGATCACGTAATCCAATCTTGGTTTTGATCCGGATCAAACCTTCAGTTTGGGTTTTTCAGACCTTTTTTGTAGGATTTGGATCACTTTGATCCAAAAAACCTGGATTAAACTGATCCCATCAGAAGGGTGGATTTAGCGTGGATTTCATGCCCAAAATGTAATGAAAACTTAAAAAAATTATTAAATAAAACTAAATTTGGATGATGCAGTATCTTACGAGATATACCATTTATTCATAAGGTTTTAATTTTATTTGTTCATCTGTCAGGCTATAGTGATTATAGGCTTTAACGTACTTAGCCTTTCAGTATAGGCCTACAGCAAAATAGAAAGAGTTTGGCCTCATAAAATAATCCCCCAAACAGCTGTGAAAATTTACCAAAAACAATACATTTTATTCTGTTACTAAATGATATATATAGTCCAAGGAATATATATATATATATATATATATATATATATATTTATTTGAAATGAAAACTAAGAAAATTTTATAATTATTAAAATAATAATAATAATAAATAATAAAAACAAGAAAAACAACACGCCGTCCTCTTTAAGCAGTCCACTCATCTGAGACCTACAACACTGTACATTGAGGATATTTATAATAAGTTTCAAATATAGATGTAAATAAAAAAAAGACTTAATGTCAAAAACTCCACAATAAGTTCAGACTTCCTCATCTGATGTGGAGAGAGCAGCTTGTTTCTCTGCCAGACGAAGCTGTGCTTTAAGTCTCTTTTTGCAATTGTTGAAAGAGATTTTAAAAATCAGGCATTGCCATTGTTTGCATATATATCACTGATAAATATTCTAAACACAAAAATATTTTCCATTGAGATGAATATATATATATATATATATATATATATGTATATATATATATATATATATTCATCTCAATGGAAAATATTTTTGTGTTTAGAATATTTATCAGTGATGCATGCAATGATTACAGAATAACAAAAAAATGCAAAGAATGGCAATGCCTGATTTTTGAAATCACTTTCAACAATTGCAAAAAGAGACTGGGCATAAGTTCATCTTCATCTGGCAAAGAAACAACTGACTCTGACTCAGACAAGCTGCTCCCTCCACATCAGATGAGGAAGTCTGACATTATTGTGGAGGTTTCAACATTGTCTTTTTTTTATTTAATACATCTATATTCGAAACTTACTATAAATATCCTCAATGTACAGTGTTGTAGATCTCAGATGAGTGGACTGCTGGAAGAGGATGGGGTGGGTTTTTTCCTGCTTTTATTATTTATTATTATAATTATTTTATTATTTATAAAATTTTCTTAGTTTTCATTTCAAATAAAAATAAAGTTATATTCTAGTTGTTGCTCTTCTAGTTGTTGGCTATTCTAGTTGTTGCTCTTTACATAGGCCTATCTATCCATCTACATTGTGATTAAGCACTGGTAATCCAGATTTAGTGATCCTGAAAAGTTCCTATCCGGATCAGATTGATCCAATACAATGTTGCTTTAAAAAACTGGCTTAAAAAGTAAGCTGGATTACGTGATCACGGATCGCAAAAACAGGATTACTAAATCCGGATCAATTTTATCCGGATTAAACCTTTTAAAAAACCGGGCCCTGGAGATCAAAAATGGTAAAACTCAACTGTTTAGATCTAGGAGATGTGGAAGTTAACTCTATTTTCTGCTTTTTTTAAATCCTTTTCCTCTGTTTTCAGGTTTTGAAGAACCCAATAGTCTTCATGGTTATGGTTGGAATTGTCTCTCATTTTGTGTTTGGAGGACGAGTGCCTGTTTTGCTGGGAGAGTTTGTTGATGGACTGGCAGACTCCTTTGGAGGGGCGGCTCTCTTTTATTTGGGCCTGAACATGGTGGGACAGATGAGCAAACTCACGCGTTCCACTGGCGTCTCCCTCATCCTGCTCATCACTGCCAAACTGTGAGTGAAAGAAGGCTGAATGTGAAGTGTTGTGGCTTCATGGCCTGTTTGACTAATTGACTGTAGTTTTGAACTCCACGCTGTTTAGAGCAGGGGTGCTCAATCCTGTTCCTGGAGATCTACCTTTAGCTCCTACCCTGATCAAACCCACCTGAACCAATTAATTAGGACCTGAAATCCACTTGATAATTACAGACAGGTGTGTTTGATAAGGGTAGCAACTGAAATCTGCAGGAAGGTAGATCTCCAGGAACAGGATTGGCCACCCCTGGTTTAGAGCTATTCGTGATTGTGCTAGTTAAAATAACCAATCCCTTCAGACATACATATAAACACATTGATAATTCCATAAGTCATTTGTTTTTCAACCCTGTTCATGGAGACACACCAACAGTATATACACTAACTGAGTAAAGTCTTGTCGCCGATCCAAGTTTTAGGAACAATAAATAATAACTTGACTTCTAGTTGATGATTTGGGATCAGAAGTGGCTAATATGAAAGGCAAAGGCCTCTAGATTACTCTTATTTTACCAGAATAAAATATGATCATGCCTTGATTTTTAATGATTTAATTAGGACAGTTAGGTCTGATTTATCTTAGACAAAAGTCTTGTCACTGCACAGAAATAATGTGCAGTATACAATATAACGACATGTTTTAAAGAAGTAATATTGTGTTTGACTCTCATGAGTTTGGAGGACTGCGTCCATACATCTCTGCAATGACTCAAATAACAAATAAAAGTAATGCTTTCTCCTTCATTTTACCCCAGTCATGCTCAATAATGTTCATGTCTGGTGACTGGGCTATCCAATCTAGGAGCACCTTGACCTTCTTTGCTTTCAGGAACTTATTAAAAATATGAACTTGGTTCTAATACGTTTAGCTGTGAAACAGGCAAGATACATCATTTGAAAGACTACGTCAAATTTATTTATGATTAATACATAAACCTGATCACTGTGTATTCATTCATTCATTACGTTTTCTTCAACTTAGTCTCTATTTCAGTGGTCACCACAGCCGAATGAACCTCTAACTATTCCAGAATATGTTTTATGTAGTAGATGCCCTTCCAGCCACAACCCAGTATTGGGGAAAACACCAATACACACTCACATTCACACATATACACTACGGACCATTTTAGTTTATTCAATTGATCTATAGCACATGTCGTTGGAATATAGGGGAAACTGGAGCACCCAGAGGAAACCCACATGGACACAGGGAGAACATGCAAATTCCACACAGAAATACCAACTAACCCAGCCAGAGGCAACAGTGCTTACCACTGAGCCACCGTGCCGCCTCACGGTGTATTTAAATGGATAATTCACCCCAAAATGACAATTCTGTTGTCTTTTTCTCACCTTCCACTAGTTTCAAACGATTTGAGTTTCTTTCTTCTGTTAAACATAACAAAGAACATATTTTGAAGACTCTTTCCAATATCTTCTTTCATGTTTACCAGAAACAGAAACTCATAAACCTCATTTGAGGCTGAGTAAATGCTGAGTAAATGTACATTTTTGGGTGAACTATCCCTTTAAGACAAATGTGGTTTATTAGTAACTATAACATATAATAATATTTTGTTTTTCTCTTACTTTTACTCTGCATATTTATTTTTTACCAGCAAATATTCATGTTTATTATTTCTGTTTAATCTGTATAATGCAAATGAATGTAAGTTTTAAACACAATTACAAAAATCATGAATATTAAATAAATGTTTTTTAAAAGTTGTTGCATGCAATGTAGGCAAATCTCTGATGGCGTGTTTGTGTTTTACAGACTGGTTATGCCTTTGATGTGCAGAGACATGGTGGAGCTGTTAGATGCTGGTAACTCCAGCTCAGCCAATCACTCCAGCTTATCTGATTATGCTTTCCTTTATGGAGTTTTCCCCACCGCTCCCAGTGTGGCCATCTACGCTGCGCAGTACAACATGGAGCTGGAGGTGGTAAGCAATAAATGAATCACTCCAATTATTGATGCTTTGTAACATTTGTCCGACAGAAATCAGAGTGTCTCTCTGTGTGTGTGTGTGTGTGTGTGTGTGTGTGTGCGTGTGTGTGTGTGTGTGTGTGTGTGTGTGTGTGGCAGGTGACCTCTGGTATGGTAATCAGCACGTTCCTGTCGGCGCCCATCATGTATGTGTCTGCATGGCTTTTGACCATTCCATGGATGGAGGCCTCGTTCCTGGTGAAGGAGCTGCAGGACGTCAGCTTTAACATCAGCATTGTCTGTCTGATAGCACTGGTGAGTGTGTATGTGGGTTTCTCTCTTTTCTATTCTGGTGCATATCTGTTTCTAAACAATTTTGGTTTATGAACTAGTATTATTTTTAGCTATTCTTTTCTGTTTTTATTTAAAAAAATATATAATAATCAAATATAAATCAAATGGTGTAAAATTAGATTATTATAAAATTACATACACACACACACACACACACACACACACACACACACACACACACACACACACACACACACACACACACACACACACACTTGTGGGCTAAAAAAAAAATTAGAAGGGGAACCCTTGGATTTGCTATAGCCCCAGGGTCCAATGTGTTCTTAATCCGGCCCTGCCCGCATTTGCATACATACACTGTACAAAACAAACAACAAATCAACACAAAAACACTTTCAAAGAAGAGAATTGCATATTTATGTAATTTTATGCATTTATGCATTTAATATTTATGTGTTTTATTAACTATGATGACTTCTGCTAAGAAACCTGAACATGTGAAAATGGTCTATTCTATTCTATTCTATTCTATTCTATTCTACTCTATTCTATTCTATTCTATGACATGGTTCCTTTCTGTTCCCTCTTGTTTACTTCTCATTCTCTACCTTCCTATTTCTGTTCTGTTCTATAATTTTTCCTCTCTTTCAAAGTTTCCTATGGTTCATGGCTGATTTTATCCTATGTGGTTGTTTACTTTTGTCTATTCGATTCGATTCGATTCTATTCGATTCTATTCTATTGGACTGTAGGGGAAACCGAAGCACCCGGAAAAAACCCATGCGAATGCAGGGAGAACATGCAAATTTCACACAGAAACGCCAACTGACCCAGCCGAAGCTCGAACCAGCGACCTTCTTGCTTTGAGGCGACAGCACTACCTATTGTGCCGCCGTGTTGCCCTCTATTCTATTCTATTCTGGTCTATTGCAGATTGCTATTAGTGTTGAATGATGTGGTTTAATGCGTAACCAACATACATAGGAATGTTTAGAGGCTTAGAAATCAAAGGGTTTACATAAAAAAAAAAATGAAATGTCTGATCCATAAAACAGAGGGATACAGAATCTGGATAAATAAATGTTTAAGGGTGTGTGTTTATATTTGTGTGTGTGTGTGTGTGTGTGTTGTAGGTTTGGACCCTTGCTGTCATGCTACTTAGTAAGAAGTTTCGGAGGATGCCACATATGTTTGCCACAAATCTGTTTTTAGCACAGGTACATAATCTATACATACATCTCTTTCTCTACACACAGTTGAAATAAAAAAAAAAACTGGAAGGAATTTTTCAAAGCATTTCCGATAATATTTTTTCCTCTGGAGAAAGTCTCATTTGTTCTATTTCAGCTAGAATAAAAGCTCTTTTTAATGTTTTTAAAAAATATTTCAAGGTCAATATTATTAGCCCCCTTAAGCTATATTTATCTTTTTATTTAAAAAGTCCTTTACCCTTAAAAAGTCATCAAACTAAAATGTGATCTTTATTTTTATCTGTTCTGCAGCTCCTAGCTTGTATGTCGATGCTCTTTTGGAAGTTTGTCCTAAAGCAGGGCAGCGTATTTGGCCAAATTCTCACCTTTACACTACTTTATGGATCTCTCTACAGCACCTACGTGTGGACCGGTAACAAATCCTCATAATGTCATTATAATGTGATAATGTCGTTTTCATTGTGTGATTTTAGACATTTTGTTTATGTTGTGGAGTTGTAGAGATGTTTAGCAGTTGTGTAGATATTGTGTTGTAGGTCTTTTGGCGTTCTCACTTACTTTACTGGGCAGAAATGAAAACTTGAAAGTGAAACCCATTGTGTTCATCATCTTTGGATGGGGGTGAGTGTGTATATAATGTGGTTTAAATACACTACCTGACAAAAGTCTTGTCGTCGATTCCAGTTGTAAGAGCAACAAACAATAACTTGACTTTTAGTTGATCGTATGAAAAAGTGGCAGAAGGTAGATTTTTTCAGATGAATCATGTGTTGAACTGCATCCCAATCATCACAAATACTGCAGAAGACCTACTGGAACCTGTATGGACCCAAGATTCTTACAGAAATCAGTCAAGTTTGGTGAAGAACAAATCATAGTTTTGGGTTATATTCAGTATGGGGGCGTGCAAGAGATCTGCAGAGTGAATGGCAACATCATCAGCCTAAGGCAGGGGTCAGCAACCCATGGCTCTAGAGCCGCATGCGGCTCTTTAGCACTGCCCTTGTGGCTCCCTGGAGCTTTTTCAAAAATGTTTGAAAATGGAAAAAGATGGGGGAGGTTAATATATTTTTTTGTTTTAATATGATTTCTATAGGAGGACAAACATGTTTAACGTTTTCAAATGCTGTCAAAGTGTGTAGAATTAATATTTAATTTCAACATTTCTGTCAGCGAAGATTTGCCTCATAGCCTGCGACACACGTTTCTATCTGCAGGGTTGTTCACAGTTCACAGATAGTGACTACATGAAGGAGTCATTCATCAACATATTAGAACACCTATTTGCAAACTTTAAAAACAAAACCAAGATAATACAAAAAAATAAAGACATACCTTTCTCCGCTAAGACAGTGAAGGAAAGGGCTATTAAAATGGTAGGTAACATAACCGATCAGCAAACCAAGGACATTAATTCAGTGCCAGCATACTCAATTGCCTGTGATGTGACCGATATTCAATGCGCTTTTATGCAGGTATGTGAACTCTGATGGGCCGCAAGAAGAAATGATCGAATTAATACCTCTGAAAGACCAGAGGCTGTGCTGAAGTGTTTAAATGACAACTAAATAAACACCAACCACCTGATTTCAGTGGCTATTTAATCATGTAGTGCTCATTATGTATTTGTAGCCAATTTAGTCATTTTTATAGTAGGCTAATATAGCTAATATAGATACATACAGCATGTGTTTCCTTCCTTATAAGGCTTATATAAGGCTTTACATTTTTTGTGGCTCCAGACATATTTGTTTTTTTGTTTTTTTGGTCCAATATGGCTCTTTCAACATTTTGGGTTGCCGACCCCAGGCCTAAGGTATCAAGACATTTGTGCTGCCCATTAAAGTGCCCAAACCACAGGAGAGTCTAAATCCTTCAGCTGGACAGCGCTCCTTCTCATACTTCAGCCTCCACAAGAAAGTTTCTGAAAGCAAAGAAGGTCAAGGTGCTCCAAGATTGGCCAGCCCAATCACCAGATATGAAAATTATTAAGCATGTCTTGGATAAGATGAAGGTGAAAGACGAATACAAAGACTCTTGATGAGCTCTGGGAGTCCTGCAAGAAAGCTTTCTTTGGCATTCCAGATGACTTTATTAATAAGTTATTTGAGTCATTGCAGAGATTTGGATGCAGACCTCCAAGCTCATGGGAGTCAGACACAATATTAATTCTTCCACTGCACCATGACTTTATATTCTTTACTGTACATTATTTCTGTTGAGTGACAAGACTTTTGTCTAAGCAAAGTCAGACCTTACTGTCTTAATGAAATAATTAAAACTCAAGGCATGATCATTTTTTTTTTTTTTTTGCTAAAATAAGAGTAATCTAGAGGCCTTTGCCTTTCACATAAGCCATTCTGATACCACATGATCAACTAGAACTCAAGTTATTATTTGTTGTTCTTAAAACTTGGATTGGCGACAAGACTTTTATCAGGTAGTGTATATCTGTGTATTAATTCTTTCGAAAATGAATCTAATGTTGTGTTTAAGAGGATTACGCTTTGAAACTGACACAAAATTATACAGCAGAACGTTTATAAATCATAATCTTTTGTGTTTCAATCCTTTGTGTGAACTATTTAGAATTCCTTTTCTGACTGTGGGCGGGCTGCTTATGATCGGACAAAGAATGAGTGACAGCTTAGACCCCGCCTTCTTTTATGGCAGTGGGCAGGTAGGTTGTAGCAGTTATTCGCAAGTTCATAAATGATGAATTTACATTTAACTCTACCTCTGTCTATCTCACCCAATCAGATTGTGTCCACCGTGGTGGTTTTAGGCTTCAGTATTGTGCTGGGTGGTCTGTCTCTGATGGGATTGAGTCGGGGGGCTCAGGAGGAGCAGAGTTATCAGGCCTTAGATCAAAACTCCATCACAGGTGCATCAGAAAATTCCAGACACCTCCAGACAGAGAACCAGAATTCTTCTGATGTGGATCAAACACACACAAACACAGGTAGATTCAGCATATACAGATGAAGTCAGAATTATTAGCCCTCCTGTATATTTTCCCCCAACTTCTGTTTAACAGAAATAAGATTATTTTCAACACATTTCTAAACATAATAGTTGTAAAAAATGATTTATAATAACTGATTTATTTACTTTGCCATGATGACAGTAAATAATATTTGACTAGATATTTTATAGACACTTCTATACAGCATAAAGTGACATTTACAGGCTTAACTAGGTTAATTAGGCAAGTCATTGTATAACAATGGTTTGTTCTATAGACAATCAAAAAAATATTGCTTAAGGGGTAATATTTACCTTAAATGGTTTTTAAAAAAATTCAATAAAACAAATAAGACTTTCTTCAGAAGAAAAAATATTTATCAAAAATACTGTGAAAGATTTCTTGCTCTTTTAAACATCATTTGGGAAACATTACAAAAAGAATCAAAATTCACTTCAACTGTATTTATATTTATGGCAAGTTGTAGCATTCTATAAAATGCACCAGTATATTTTTGTCATGTTATTAGTACTTATATTTTTAGAGCCTTCAATAAGTACTAGTATGTGTTCATTAGATATGCTATTTGTGCGTATTCTGTAGTGTTAGTACCGTTTAAAAGTATGCTAGTATTTCTTCATTAGATACTAGTATACGTTTAATACAGTGGTTCTCAACTGGTTTGGCCATGGGACCAACATTTTTACATTGTCATCAACCCACGACCCAAATTTTTAGGAACTATAATATAATTTTAGGAATTATAATTAATTTGTATTTATTTGTTAACATACAGAAGTAGTGACAGATAAATCATAAGGAAACCACCAAGACTTACAAATAAACAATATTTTATTATTGTCATTTAACAAAATGTCTCAAATTATAGAAATATTACAAAGTAAAAACGACAAATGCTTGGTTTCTAAAAGTGCTCTTGTGAGCGCACATCACTACATATGACACACTGAGGTTTTAAACCTTTTTTTGTCATCAATATATGTAAATCCACACTTTATATATTCGGTGTCAAACTCCCGCTTCAACATATTTGTTGCTATAATTAAATAAAATTTTTCATGTCAAACGGTACAGTTGTCACTCGCGCATTTCAAAATAAAAGTCTTGTATTAGCAAAATAAGTAAAAAAATTAACATTTGTTGTTTTTTTTGACCACACACGCTGTGTGAAAATGTTCCCCCACCAGTTGAGAAACACTGGTTTAAGATATAATAATAGTTATTTGTTAGGTACTAGTTCTTAGAAACTAGTATAAATCGTTATTAGTAAAAATTCTTATTCTACCAGTCATAATGGCCATTGTTCAGCTTAATAAAAAACATATTACTAAAATAAATATCTGGTATCTACAGTAGTAAACCTAGGCTGACATGTTCTGAATAAGTACTAGTATCTGTTTAATAGGTACATGTGACTAATTAATAAATACTCGTATTTTAACAAGGTATTAGTATCTAAAGAATAAGCACTAGTTGCTAAAAAGTGAAAATTTTTAATGTAAAAGATACGAATTGCTAAAAACAATGTAGTACTAGTACAACGAAAATATATACTACTGTGATTTAAATTAAATGTTTAAACTGATTGCAGTAGAATATCTGCATATATTTAATGAGCAGCAGCAAAACAGCTAACTCTGGAACATAGATATAAATATTAGATGTCGCCTACCCTGTTGGTGTTGTAAATTGGAAGAAATGCGTCAATAGAGCCGCCATTTTCATACAGGGTAGCTCTCCATTAAAATGAATGCGAGACCAAGGTGCAGTGGAGGACTGTGGCCATTCAGAGCCAGAGAAATACACAAATATGCATATATCTATGATCAGGAGTTTACCCAGTGGTCATTATGCAAATATTTTTTTAAATTACGAAAATTTAGATTTTTCATTACTTTTCTACATTAATGGATAAGTGACTGCACGGGCATTCCTGACAAAGAGCAAATGTTTGTGTGCATGGAAATGTTTCTGGCACTGCAACATCTTGTTGTCATATTTCATTTACATTGTTTGCTTAGTTTATTCAACAAAACTACCATAAGCTTAGTATTTAGTGTGAGTTGGTGCTACTTTGCCTTATAGTGAATGCAGTAAGTGTATTTATCATCAGTAACGTTACCTGTTTAGCACAAAAGATCATTACATACAAAAGCGTAAAAAACTAAATCGTACCTATGAAATGTTCTGCCTTTGTGCTTTGTTTTCTTTGTTTGCTCGTCATTACACCCGTACACAGCGCTAAACTCCAGCATCTTCACGTAGTAACACTGTCTTGACTAGTGCGGTTGAATGACATTTGTCCTGGGAGCACTGTACAAATGTGGCGGCGCTATTGACCCATGCTCAGGGTCCGTATGTGATATCTAGTGTATATATCTATGACTATGGAATACTGTAGTTATCCTTAAAATAAACATTCATCAATATACTCCACCTTGTGTCATTCCAAACATGCTTGGCCCTGTCTGGAGTACAAAATGCAGTTTTTAATGTTGATAAGTTTTTTCAATGTGCTTAAAGATGAACCATGTGCCAGTTCTTAGTCAATATCTTTGCTGAGCGTTTACTGCAATTTTTCAAAATAGTTACAAACATGTAACCAATCCTATCAACTTACAGATGTTTGTTGCAGTGAACCCATGCCAGATATGATAGCCGGGCATCTGAACGACTCACCAGTGCCTTCAGCAGGTGAGTTTTTTTTTGTTTTTGTTTCTATTCTTACACTTACCAAGTCATTAAATGAATAGTTCACCCAAAAATGAAGCTTTACTCACAATTTGCTCACTGTAAGGTGGTTTCAAACCTTTATGAATGTATTTTTCTGTTGAACAAAATATAATATATTATATTTTAAATAATGTTGGAAACTGCTAACCATGGGCATCCATAATAATTTACTCTTCCTCTATTGTTCAACAAAATGAAAATATTTTGAAAGATTCCTGTGAGGGATGGATTCAGGGATAGAGTAGGTCAATATGTATTGAGTGTGTCATTGTGCTAATCTTATAAGATACGATACTGATTTAATTCAGAATCGTAATTCAAACAAAAGTGACTCTAGATTAGATTCAAATGTTTCATTCACACAATTCATTTTTGGGTAAAACATCTGAAGTCAGGGTAGTGATTTTATTCACGGCACCTCATGCTAATACTACAGTTTCACATTAAATCATAACCAATCAAATGCTCTCTAGTATCTGACATGCCCCGCCCCTTTCAAAAGGCTTTCCTTATTTGCTTTTCATTTGATGCGCTTCAGCTCAACCCCTCTCACGGGCAGAGCGATGATAAAACAAAACGTTTTTATCTGCTTTTTTAAAAAGGGGAGGAGCTACACTATGTCCCACCCTCTCTTCATGTTTTAGTTGAGATTATGTCAAACACTAAATAAAAATGCACATTTCGAAGCACTTCACAGCACCTTTAAGGCAAATGTGGCTCATGGTTGCTTAGCAATGACAGACACCTCAAAATCGCAAGCTCTGGTGCACAAGAGATGTGTTTAGATGATTGAGCTCGAAAACCACTCACACAAATATACAGTAGTTATTAAAGTGTTAGGGGTGGGGCCATGCTTGGTGGTTCCATTGCGTTATCGAGCCATTGTTTTAGTCCCGCCCTAAAAATACTGAACACAGAACGGATCCGAGTTGGGTACATTTATAGAGCAGCAAATGGGAGAGTACTTTGAATATTTAGTTTTTAATCCTATTTGCTCAAATAATAAAAGAAAAACGGTAACACTTTACAATAAGGTTCATTAGTTAATGCATTTACTAACATGAACGAATCATGAACAACACATGTACAGCATTTATTAATCATAATTGAACATTTACTAATGCATTATTAACATCCAAGTCTATGCTTGTTAACATTAGTTAATGCACCGTGAGTTAACATGAACTAACAATGAACTACTGTATTTTCATTAACTAATGTTAACTAACACGTACAAATACAGTAGTAAATGCATTTTTCATTGTTTGTTCATGTTAGTAAATGCATTAATTAACATTAACTAATGAACCTTGTTGTGAAGTGTGACCAGAAAAACAAAGAGAAGAACATCCAATTTACTGTCCTGTCCATAGACATTTCATTACAAACACCTATAATTAGTTTTTTGTAACGCAAAGATGATATAATACAAAGTATATCTTTATAAATGTACATAAATTAAACAAAAATCAAGATATTAAAAACTTTTAAGGACCATTAAATGGGGTTCATTGGTGAAAAACTGTTTAACTCCACAATTCAGTACTACATGCATCTGAGTCTTTGTAGGTAGAGTCGGAGCATTTCTCAAAATACTCTTCACCGGTATATTAAGTGTTGCTTGATTGGACATAAGAGAGTGTTTCTGTTGTAGGGATTGTCCTGGGCGAGTCATCAAGCTCTTTGCGTGTGCAGGAGGAGAGGCAAATTGCTCGACATGTGCTCCTCTGTCTGCTGCTCATCGTCAGCATGCTTGCTGTATGTCCACCCCACATGTAAAAAATACACATGCATATGTTGATCAGCTGATCTTGCATTTGGGACTGTTTATTTGTTTATTTCAGAACCTGTCCAGCTGCCTGTGGTGGTTGTTCAGTGCTGATCCAGGACGACTTTACCTCGAGCTGCAGTTTTTTTGCGCTGTAGCCAATTATGGACAGGTGAACACGTCTCATTGTAGATGCATATGAAGAGCTACTGTAAAAAAAAGATTCAAATAATTCTAATACTTTTTCTCCACCAGGGCTTTGTTTCCTTTGGTATTTTTGGCTTGGATGAGCACCTTATTATTCTTCCATTCAGAAAGAGGTAAATCAGTTATAAATGTAGACTTGTAAAGTGGCAGTTTTGGATCGTCTCGTCAGCTGTGCTGTGTGTCTGTAGGCTGGCGGCTCTGTGTGGTTTCAGTCAGGAGGAAAACCTTGAGCCTTCTGCTGTTCCTGAGGAAATTCGACTGACCTGCACTCAGTTTGTGAGATACCACAAAGATCAGTGCGTTCAGGATATTGTTCGCAACAGAGGGTGAGAAATCAGGAACAAAATGTCTTGATGTGTTTTTTAGGCTACGTTCACACTGCAAGGCTTAGTGCTCAAATTAAATATTTAGAAATCCAACTAAAATAAACTGTCATATAGGATTTCACTTCGTAAAGGACTGGCTGAGATGCTCCAACAAACTGAATAGTCCCTCAGAAGACACATCTTAACACTTTTTTTTTGTTAAATTATGTATGTATATATATATATATATATATATATATATATATATATATATATATATATATTTATAAAACACACACCCCATTTAAATCGTTTGACATTTTCCTGTGTTTTTTCTCTCTTGATGGTTTCTCTCACTTTCTCAGGGGGTCTACTGAATCTCTCAGCAGACCTGTGGGTGAATCCTTCCTTTGATTGACAGGAGTCACTGTTATTTGAGCAGTGCATTCATTGGCTTCCTCTTGTATGTGGGTGTGGCTAAAGTAAAAGTTGTGGCTTGGCTTTCAGGACACAGTCGCAGAAGAACATCCTACAACACTCGAGTCTTCAAACTACTTGTGATGCTGGCTCATAAAGGGATGATGTGCTCAGTGTCTCCACATTTGTGATGTGACACAAGCCCAAGCTGGAACTAAATAGACTGAATTGTGTATCAGTATGTGTTGTACTTTTTTAATTACTATGCATGGCATGCAGAAAGCACAGACGTCTCCCTTTATCCCTTACCTGCACATTCAACAGCCTTGCTCTGTTCCAAACCTAGGGAGTTCCCTATTGAGGCAGCATTTAAAGGGTCACGAAACACCAAAACACTTTTTTTTGTGACATTGACAGTCATTTATGTGTCCCACACTGCTAAAAACACTATTAGGACATATATATGTCACTAGTAAGTGAAATTGGTTATTTTTACGTTATTTCGAGCAAAATTTGAAGCTAAATCACGACGATTAGATCCTTGTGTAAATTCCAGCATGGAGACTGGATGTCTGTACCGGTGGGTATAACCTGACGTCTTTGAGATTTCATTATTAAAGCTGCGGTCACACTAGGGTTTAAGCTTGCGAACTTCTGTCGTACGACGCTGCAAGAAGGGGCGGGATTAAACAAGATGATTAGACATTTTAAAATGCGAGCGATTGGTCTATATTTTAAATTTCTATCCAGAGAGGTCATGTTTTCATCCTTGATTGGTCTCACGCAAACAAGATGATGCGATTTTGCAGGTCACAGTTCACCAAGCTTTAACTTTGCAACGCAGTAAACTACGAAACTTGACGTACGAACTTGCGTTTTTGGTCTAAGTCTATGGGGAGAAAAGTCCAGTTTGACCGCAGCTTAATGCACGAGAAAGACTTGGTTCGAACCAATCAGCACACTCTAGTGTAATTAAGGTGTAACTTCATTAATATGAATGATAGCTTCGAAGACCACCCGTAATTATAACAAGTGAAAGAAGAATTGTTTGGAAACATGTGTTGCGTTTATAAAGGTTTTGTTTCCATTTTCTCAGGATGAGGGCACCAATCGCGTATGGGCCCACATTTGTGGATTACAGTGGTCTGCTAACATGCGACAAAAATATGTTCGTAAGGAACATTTTTACCCAAGAGCTTTTCGTATCAGGAAATGTTGAAATCCAGATTTGCTGCACGTCTCCTTGTAAAAAAGACAGTTGGTGTTGATTGTCCTTTCTACAGATTTGGTAAGTGTGTGATCAGTGTTATTTCTTTATGTTTAATCAGAGACAAAGTAAGCTAGTATCATCAGCAGTACTCTTTCAGTTTTTAAACACAAATCTTAATCAAAATGATTTAGTTGCTAAGTTTACAGTACAGTAATCTCCCTACAATATTATGGAATAAAAAATATGCTGTAAATGCTGCTCTCGGAGTGTAAACAAGTAAACACCTTAATCAAACTATTACTGTTGTGTAGGATTTTCGCTGCGTATGATTTTCGCCGCATTTTGTGACAGTATAGTTTATACACACACACGACTGTTTGATGTTATTGTTTGCACCTCCTGAGTCTCTGCATCTATCGAGAAATGCAGAGTTTTTTTTTTCTCCAATTCGGCGTGCGGTATCAATTCCATTTAAACACTCTTCCAGCAGTTCATACTGACATCCAATATCTCGCTTGTCACGGGGCATGCATAAAATTTTCCTCAAGGAAATTGAAAGTGCCGAACTGCAGTTGAAGTCGACAAATTAAGAATGAAACACCCAAAAGTACATGAATTACATGGGGGAAATGTGGATAGCGAGGCAAGGGTGTTAATCGAATTATGTGTCATAACATGTAAAACGGGATCATTAAAGGAACAATCAAAAAGCAACTCATGTAAACACCTTCAACATATTATTGTCTTATTCAGATTAAAGCTGTGTGAAAACATCCTGCTGAGACAGGGGGGTTTCGTGACCCTTTAAGGCATCTGACGGATGTGCTGTTTTGTAAGGTGAGCAATCTTGTTGTGTTGCATCCTAAAGGTTTAAGGCAGCATCACATGCATCCTTTGAAAATGCACTTTCTTTCTGAAAGATCTTCTCGATATGCATTTACTTTCTGAGAAGAAAATATCCCAGAATACATTGATATAACTAAAACATATTTAAATTTGAGACAGTGGATGAGGTGAATTAAAAATACAGTTTTATTTTATGTGCAATTCATATTCTGCTGATGTTGAACGCATTGCACATGCTGAACCATGTAATGACTGGGGTTTCAAAGGAGCATGGATGCTTGCTTTTTATTGTAAGCTGCCTTTTTAGGGCTCTGTTTTGGACCGGACGAAAATATGTTTGCAGAGATCTAAATATGCACTAATTATTATAGTTACATTAATTAAATGTAACTAAAATGGTGAATGAAACATCCTCACCACCTGCTGTCTACACAAGTGCTGCAAAACGTCTGACTGGGATTTTAATGGTATGCTTTGTGTTACTTGTGAGCCTTGTCGGGATGATAAGACTGTATGGCCTTGTAGCAAAGCAATACAAGTCATGTTTACAAACCGAAAAATGATCACGTGTGAGGTAACCGAGACGAAATTCAGGACAATCTCTGGAATTTACAGCAGGGTCACTTTATTTTCAGTCTACAGCACTGTTTATGTACCGTCATGTGGTAAATCTCCCTCATCTTTTTGTGTACGGTTAATTTGTTTTGCTGGTGTGAATCTCTATAAGTAATTATATTTATGTTTCTGTGAAAGTACAGCATAACTTTATATCAAGATATGTGAAAATGACATTAGAAAGCAGGAGCAATGATGAAACATGTCTTTGTTTTGTTTATTTCTGTAACGCTGATCACAATAAATTGAATTAAAAGACAACTACATAGCGAGATTGTTTAATTATTTTAGAAATGTTTAAAAGTGAAAAACCTTGATATACAGTTAAAATCAGAATTATTAGCCCCCCTGTTTATTTTTTTTCCCCCGATTTCTGTTTAACGGAGAGAAGATTTTTCAACACATTTCTAAACATAATAGTTTTAATGGCTCATTTCTAATAACTGATTTATTTTATCTTTGCTATGATGACAGTAAATAATATCGTACTAGATATTTTTTCAAGACACTTCTATACAGCTTAAAGTGACATTTAAAGGCTTAACTAGGTTTAATTAGGTTAACTAGGCAGGTTAGAGTAATTAGGCAAGTTATTGGATTACGATGATTTGTTCTGTAGACCATCGAAAAAAATAGCTAATAATTTAGTCCTTAAATAGTGTTTAAACAATTTAAAAAAAATGCTTTTATTCTAGCCGAAATAAAACAAATCAGAATTTCTTTAAAAGAAAAAATATTATCAGACATATTGTGAAAATTTCCTTGCCCTGTTAAACATCATTTGGGAAATATTTAAAAAAGAAAAAAACAATTCAAAGGTGGCGAATAATTCTGACTTCATCTGTATATATATATTGCACAAAAGTTATTCAAAATCTATTCAAATCATTTGAATCTCAGTTGATGGAACGAAGATCTTTCGTTTTGCCTCATATCTTAACATAACTTTCTTAATCAGATTTTTTAGTGACATAAGTGTATTTTAATATAGTTTTACAGAAGTTTGGAAACCCAAAACACTTTGCAGTAAGTACACTCTCAAAATAAATGATTTGGCGTTTCACCATATTGAGTACAAAATGAGCATTTATGGGAAATGTTGTTATTAAGTGTAGCTAGTTTGGTGTTTATCGGGTAGCAATTATGAATGATTTTGATTGAGACTTCAACAACTTTATTAGATAAAAATATTTTTTTTCTGAAGAAGCCAAAAGTGTTCCCAATCTGTCATCAAATATATTATTCCAAAAACCTATGCAAGCAGGTAAAGACATCCGAGAACTATTAATAAATAAGTGAATATCTTGGTTTGACACTGAGAAGAGTTTGGTCAACAAGACAATTTGTATTGTTGTCAAAAATAAAATAATCTAAAGAACCTTTAGGGCCAGATTTGACTAAAGGTATAACACAATCAACGATTGCAGCAAAACTGGCATATTATTTGGGGGAAACAGGAAAAAAAATGATATATTTTTCGTATGAAAAAAGGACTCCACAGTCATCTTAGAGCTGACTAACTAAAAGTATAAAAGAGATTTATCTTTATATCTAATATTTTTATTATTCCAAATAAAATAGGTACGTGGAGAAAATGTTTAATTATATGTAAGGGACCAACATAATAAAGCCTAGTTATTAAAACTAGATACGTAATAGATTTTTTTTATTATAACATTTTAACAGTACAATAAATATACATGCCAGGGGGTAAGCATAAATCAAAATACACTAATTTACATATGTAATGATCAAATAAACACATTGTAGAGTTCACAAAGTTTTAAAGTGCGTAGGGCTTTCTTATTTAGAGAGTCTCTGATACTACTAATGTATAAGCATAATTCAGTCATCAACACCTTAATGTTGGGTTTCTTATTGGTAAATAAACTTTTATGAATGTAAAATTTTGTTAGCAAAATAATTAAATTAATTAAATAAAAACAATTTTCCTCTTGAATAGGGTACATAGAAATGCAAAAAAGTACACGTAATGGTATTTTCGAGATGTCAAAATAACAGCGCAACAAAAAATGTAAACCTCCAACTGAGCTAAAAACTTAATTTGGAATAAAATTCCAACATGAAGTTGGGTTGTTTAAAAACGTCTTTAACCTCTTAATTGTAAATAAAGATTTTTTTTCTTTTTTTCGTAAATAAAGATTTAGTTACACCATTCCTTATGTGTTTACGTCATCATCTCCGCTTTTCTCCCAACGTCGTTACATCTTCACTCAGTTTGACCAATCACAGCGTGAGAATTCGGGACTCTTCCGGTATGCGCGTTCTTTCCGTTTCATCGGCCGAAGTGTGGAGCAGCGTGTGTTCATTTGAGCACAACGAAATTCTCCATCTGCTGACAGACATAGTGTGAAATCAAGGTGATCTAGACATAATATGTATCATATTTATATGTGCATCGCGTAGACGTGCTATGTTTGGCTATATGCTCATCTTTGCTGCATATTGGCTCATTCATATGACCGGTATGCTAACCAGCTACACAGTAATGAACGGGGATGGTGATGGTGGTGATGTTCTGGATGTCCATGTGTCTCCCTTTTGGCTTCCTAGTTACCAGTGAAGCCCCCTTGGCTCTAATAACCCGGCTGTCACTTGGCTGTGGTACAGGGATTTCTAAACAGTGATTTGATATACTTATGCCTTCTCTTACTTGTCCAGGGTGAGGAATATATATTTAGCCTTTCATACAGTTAATATGGCCGGTCAGCTTACACTCTTAGTGCGGGGGCTATTTTGGGAGCCTGGCCCCACATGTGTGACTGTCGTGAAATGGCAACTAGTTACTGCAGCTAGTCAGACTAACGAAGCTACATGTTACTTGACTTCTACAGTGTTTTAATTATGCTAATATCCATTTGAGTACTGACAACATTTAACCATGGCTCCTAAAAAGGTGTGGTGGCTGCTTGACCAGTTGCGTTGTTTTGGTTAATTGTATCATGTAATGTAATGTCATTTTTTTTTCACAGATGCCTCCAAAGAAGGGAGGAGATGGACCAAAACAACCGCCCCTTATCGGACGTTTTGGGACTTCCTTGAAAATTGGAATTGTTGGGCTGCCAAATGTAGGGTACGTGTCTCTTCCAGCCATGTGCGCTGCATCTTTGGTTTAACATCAAAGAAGCAGTGCTGTCAGACTGATCAACTGCGAATGCTGGATGTGGTTGGGTTGTATTTGTGCCTGTATTGTGTGAAATGTATAGAGGGATGATGACTCATGATCCTGAGCCATTATGAGAATGACATCATCCTGCCATGAGGATGGTTGGTGGTTTTTGAATGGAAACAAGGTTGCAGTGGATCAAGTCCGAACAGTCACAGTAAAAACTTGAAATATCCGCTTGTTAAGTGGTGACGTGTTGGTGACGTTTGTAATACTGTTCCCGGGTCCAAGCCGCCACTCATTTGAGTTGTGAAATTTTTTGTTTATGATCACTTTTAAGTCAAATCACACATTAAAGTTAATTTTATCTCCAGGCTTGCTGCATAACAAATACCAAAATTTTAACAATTTATAAAAAAATGAATCACTTTCTGGCCATCGGATATTAGGCATGAACATATATATTGCGATTGTGATTTTCGAAAGTTTTTCATCGCTTAGTAAACGTTTATAATTACTCTTTCATGAGTCTCCCCATACAGTTGAATAGAGCACGTGGACCCGTAGGCCGCTTTGCATGACGTCACTCTTAACAAGCTGATATATTCACAGAGAATGTCTATGTTAACAGCATATAGAAATGTGTTTAAGTTTTAAAGGCAACTAAACAAGTTAAGGGATCAGAAAAATATCAATATGTAAATGTGTTTTATATTTTAAAAGAGGGAAATGTACTTCAATGTCTCTCTGGGTCATAAATGAGGCGTCCCGTTTTTGTTTTCGCTTTAGATTCACTAAAGTGGGTTTATGTACATGGGAAACATTAAATGTAAGCCAATTTAATGTTGATTAAATTCTAATTTACTTACCGTGTAGTGTTATGACGAATAATTTTGGCAGTAATGTTAGTCAGTAATGTTGTTTTAACTAAACATTGCAATACAAATATGCTCACTTTTGTTGACAATGCAAGAAGTGTAGCAGATTTATTAATGTAAACATATAATAGAAAATCTAATGATACTTAATTTTTACGATATTTTATCATTTTTCTCTTTCTTACAAACATGTATATGTGCCAATGAGATGGCTGCAAAGAATAAATCTTTAAGGTGACAGTTAAATAGTGTTTTGGGTCTTTAAATTTGTGATCAAATGAGTATTAATAATATTAGATACTGTTCCTCTGAATGACACGGTTTGTGATGCCTTAGTCATTATAGTAACAATACACACTATTGTAAAGAAAATATCTGTTGCTGTATTACTCATTTTTTATTTTAGATTTTTAAAAACTCTTCTGTTTGAACCATATTTCAAATATTTGTTCATTATGCAAATCAAAGTTTCATGTTTTTTATCTAAATCTATTTTTTTTCTCCAGAAAGTCAACATTCTTCAATGTTCTGACAAAGAGTCAGGCAGCGGCTGAGAATTTTCCTTTTTGCACCATCGACCCAAACGAGAGCCGTGTGCCCATTCCAGATGAACGTTTTGACTTTCTCTGCCAGTACCATAAACCAGCTAGGTGCGTAGGTACATGATACAATTACCAGCATCGTCTTCGTCATCAGTGACACCATGTTTTTAATCTCTCTTTATTTATTCTTCAGTAAGGTCCCAGCGTTCCTGAATGTGGTGGATATTGCTGGCTTGGTAAAAGGAGCTCACGCCGGCCAGGGTTTGGGTAACGCCTTCCTCTCCAACATCTTTGCCTGTGATGCCATCTTTCACATGACCCGTGAGTACATTATGATATTAAGATTTGAGTTTAGCTCTAACTGGGGTTGGGCGATGTCGACCAAGATGTCTAATGTGAAACATTGCGATGGACTATGGCATCGTCATCGTAGGCGGCGGTGAATTAATTATGCATTAGTAATTAATGAATTCATAATTAATTAATTAATTATTTGTAGCCTACCGTTTCAACCACCTGACCCGCATGGTCTTTAATTTACCCATAACCAAATCATAAATAAAGAAAGATAAGTTGCACACAAATTACCACCTGTCAATCACTTTTTCCATGGGACTCTGGCATGAATAGGCAGAGTGATTTGTGTCGATATAATGGCATCACAAACTTGGTTGGTAAAAAATGTGACCAACCAACAGTATCTGGGTTTTTCACTAAAATTGCTAAGCGTGAAAGCGAAAGATTGAAGCAGTGTACTGATGCTGTGACACGTTGCCTGATAGATTCAAAAGACTGAAGAGTCATTAGATAGAGACAAGATTAATTTGGGGCGGGGCAGAGGATCGCGTTGCCAGCTCAGCATCGTGACGTCTATTGGTCAGCGATTGATCATGGCAACGTCTATCGACCCAACCCTAGCTCTTACCATGAGGTTGGAACTAACTGTGAAAGAACTAGCTTATCGTTAACTAAGGCCCCGTTTACTCTGTCAGGTCTTGATGCCCAATTTTGATTTGTTGCCTGTCCGTTTACATGTTATTTTAATTATGATCCATTTCCGATTCGCATGTTACCACTTGCCATATAATTTACAACGTCACACATGCGTAAAGGCGGGTTCTAGCTTCTGCGCCACACTAGCCACAATGGAAGAAATTGTCTTGCTTTTAGCTCTGCCAAATATGTGAAGTTCGCCCAACTTTAAAATGATTTTGAGGCGGTGGAGGAGGAAAAGGGCCGTCATTGCAGCTTGCGCCTATGGTTAATATATGGTGTCCTCCACTGACTCATCTCCCCACAGGGCAAGAAGGCAGGTAACTTCTGCCGTCCACCTCTGACCCCTTTCCTCCTCTGTGTTTCCTCTGTTCTTGTTGTTGTTGTTTTCTGCGTCTGCACACACCCTCTTCCTTCTACATCATTAAACTATGGAGAAGTACCAAATTGTTGCAAGTTTAATGACGTACAAATCAGCATGCCTCAATAAATTCGATCTGCCTGTTTACATGATAGTCGCATTGTCACATCATTTAACTTATCTTACATTATCTGATTTATATCTGATTTATTTCCAAATATGAAGGAGGCCTAAAACTGATCTCTGAATATCCGAATGCATGCGTTTTTTTTCGTGTTTACACGGTCATTGAACAGATCTGATCTGTGTCACATATGTGCAAAAAATCGTAATTGGGTCACGTTTAACTGGCAGTGTAGACGGGGCCTAAAAAACAAACCATTTTAGATAGCTTTACCTAAAATAAAACAAGTGCGGGGCAAACATGACAAGGATAAAATAAATCTGTTATTAGAAATGAGTTATGAAAACTATTATGTTTAGAAATGTGTTAGAAAAAAATCTTCTCTCCGTTAAACAGAAATTGGGGAAAAATAAACAGGGGGTCTAAAAATTAAGGATGGGCTAATAATTCTGACTTTAACTGTGATACATAACTAACTGTGACATCAACTAACTGATATGTAATATAATAAATCGTGTGTGTGTATATATATATATATATATATATATATATATATATATATATATATATATATATATATATATATATATATTATTCATTTATTTTATATTCAATTATCTAATTCATTTATTATATTATATATCATTTATTTATTATATTATATATCATTTATAATATATTTTATTTTATGCATATAATATCTGATAATATGCGTTTGTAACTAGGAGCTTTTGAGGATGAAGATATTATCCACGTGGAGGGCTGTGTGGATCCAGTAAGGGATATTGAGATCATTCATGAGGAGCTGAGGATGAAAGATGAAGAGATGATCGGGCCAATCATAGATAAGCTTGAGAAAACCGCTGTCAGGGGTGGAGACAAAAAACTCAAGCCTGAATATGTGAGTCAACTATAAATTCCAGTCTTTCAAGTTCTGTCCATCTTTAAAATTAAAAGTTTTATTTATTAAACGGATAGTTCACCCAAAAATAAAAACTGGTTTCTTTTGTGTTTAACAAAAGAAAGAAGATATACTGAAGAAACACATAGTAATTGACTTCCTTAAAATTTTTATTTTTTTTTTTTACTATGGATGTCAGTGCCCGCTTTCTTCAAAACATTTTTCAGAATACCTTTTTTTGTGCTCAACAGAAGAAATAAAAGTTTAAATATTGAATTTGAGTGAGTAAATTATGATATTTTTATTTTTTGTGAGCTGTATCTTTAACAGAATATTTACAAAGCATCATGAACTGACTGTTTTACATCATTTGTTTTTCACCTTTTTGCTTGCAGGACATCATGTGTAAAGTAAAGTCCTGGGTGGTTGATGAAAAGAAACATGTTCGTTATTACCATGAATGGAACGACAAAGAGGTTCAAATATTTTTTCATTACTTTTTAATCTGTATAGAGTTCTGCAGGAGAAGCACAGAAACAAATATAGTTTGTGTATTTACTAGGGATGTAACGGTATCAGAATTTCACGGTACGGTAATACCTCGGTATGAATGTCACGGTACGGTATTTATTGAATCATTTACAGGAAAAAAACAAAACTTATGAAAATACTCCAAAAACGTGCCAAAAGTGTCAATGACATACAAATTAGCCATCTATATGTAAGCTTTGAAACAGGAACTTCAATTTTAATAACAAAAAAATATTAAACCATGTAAAAAAATAAAGTTTCAATTTAGTAGTTTTGAAAACTCATCACATTCAACATTTAATCACTCACTCACTTAGATAGAGATGGGTTTAAAGGAAAATTATCATATAAATATAATCTGGTAAAAGCTGGTATCTCTGGGCATTTAAAATGTGAGATATGACTTGGCCCTGGTTGACAGCCGTGGGTAACGATGTGCATTGTCTTTCCCCCACTTGAGAGGACAAACCATGAGTGAGATAACGAGATCTCATGTCTGCATCAATCTGAACAGTGTGCTGACAACACCGCTATTCAGTACGCGTGCGACAACACAGCTGATAAGAACTCGCACGACAACACCGCTATTCAGTACGCGCGCGACAACACAGCTGATAAGAACTCGCGCGACAACACCGCTATTCAGTACGCGCGCGGCGACAACACCCGCTTTAGAGTTTTCCATCTCTTTTTCATCCCAGCTTCTAGCAGCACACTCCATTTCCGCATTACTGGATCTGTAGCGACAACAGACCGCAAGGGATGATGGTCAAGCATGGGCTGATGGGAATTGTAGTTTTCGCTACCTCCCGTTTGCTTCATTCGCCTAAGCAAATTTTCTCAGAAGACCTATAGTTTTACCGAGTCATGCGACTACGGTAATATCGAAAAAAATTTATATTGCGGTATGACGGTATTTACAATAACGTTACATCCCTAGTATTTACACTTTTATCATAGGACAAGCTCAGTGCATTGTCATCTTTTATTCTAAGGCATAATGTCTATAACCCCTTTGAGTGTGTTTAATATGGTTAAATGGGACACAAAGAACAATAGGAACAATAAACATTATTACACATCACAGGAAAACTACCCCTGCATCTATAAAACAATTTAAGAATCGTACAGTTTTTTTTAATTTATTAATTTCTATGTTTATGGTTCACTTCAGAGCTGCACAGTTGATCATAAAAGATCTCGATTCGACCCCTAGATGATCTTAATCCAGCATTTCTACGATTCTGTCAATCATATTTTCAAGTTCAGGAGAGAAGAAAAGGTGGCCGCACAAGTCTTTAAATTGTTTTACATACATTGTTCAGCAACGTGGACACCTCCAAAGGGTGTAGAACGAGTCACATGCTGTATTTATAAGGTACAATTCACCCTAAAAATGTCATTTCTGTCTTCATGTAATGATGTATTTGCGACTGCAAAATCACACATGAAGTGAGCTGACCGACAGCTGTTACCACAGAGAGGGCGGGCGCGCGCCTCTGAATGAAGTTCACTTTAGTGAACAGAACTTGCATAGGCTGTGAATAACCGGTAATAAAGTTGTAAATAAAATTCAGTTTGTGGCACAAATCGATCGTTTGGGAGCCGTACGGTAAGTGAACCGCTCTTAGTAGTGAAAATGAAACCGAAAGCGCACACAGTGTTGCCAGATGTAGGTGACTGATTCCAGCCCAAAAAGTATCCAAAACCCGCCGAAATGCACAAATACCCCCCCAGTCTTCTGTATTCACGGAAAATCATGTCAGTGACAGATTTTAAGCAGAAAATTACTGATTGTAAGCATATGTCTTAAACACAATAATTCAACATCCAAATTATCATCATCAGCATTAATGACCAGGACAAATCTAAAGACTGTTCAAGTCCACCATTCCAAGTCTATTAAAAATTTAGCATATTAACTCACAGGACAGCTACACAAAGCCTATTGCTGTTTTACCACATGTTTGAGAACAACAATAATAATAGCCCACTCATATTAACCTTCATTTTACATCTACAGAATTGTGAAAAAATCGTGATTCTCATTTAGCCAGAATCGTGCAGCTCTAGTTCACTTATATTCACCATTAATCCAAAAATCAAATAACAAATCAGTTTGGATTTTTGTAAAGGGTTGATGATAACTTTCCGCTTGACCAAATAAGTATATAATCACTGCGGAACTCTGTACAAACCTTTCCTTTTCCTTTCCTCAGATTAAGGTTTTAGCTAACTGTTTTTGTGTTTGTTCTTCAGATTGAGGTCTTGAATAAGCATCTGTTCCTGACATCCAAGCCAATGATCTACTTGGTAAACCTCTCAGAGAAAGATTACATCAGGAAAAAGAACAAATGGTGAGTTGGCATGTTTGTCTGCTGTTAGTGAATACTGTGGTGCTGGTATTAGATATCCTTTAGACCAGGGGTCACCATTCTCATTCCTGGAGGTCGGGTGCCCTACAGGCTTTAGCTCCAACTTGCTTCAACACACCTGCCTGGGTGTTTCAAGTATACCTTGTAAGACCTTGATTAGCTTGTTCATGTGTGTTTGATTAGGGTTGGAGCTAAAATCTGCAGGACACCAGACCTCCAGGAATAAGTCTGGGGATCCCTGCTTCAGACCATTTGTTTTCACATTTGTGTCATCTAGTCTAAGAATAAGAGTATGTAATTAGTAATGTGAGTATAGAACAGAAACACATGACTAGTTTTAAGGCTCCATGCTGCAAAACATGCACTTTAAAGGGATAGTTCACCCAGAAAGTTCTGCCGTTTACCCATCATACATTTAAAAACTTCTTTCTTCTGTTGAACACAAAGATATTTTAAGGCAAATATCCAGTATCTTCCATGTTGTTTTTGTTCCTACTTTAGATGTCAATGGCATCCTTCTTCAGTAGATCTTGCTTTGCACTCCACAGAAAAAAAAATCGTATTAAACACAAGTGTAATGAAATTGTCGTGTGAGCTGTATCTTTAAAGGATGTCTGATACAACATAATCTGTAATGTCATAAATTGACAATCTTTTTTTAAAATTTTTTACTTCAACTGCAAAGGTCTTAATAAATTAATTAAAAGTGCCCAGCAAATTCAGCACCCTTTTTCAATCTCACATTTTTGTGCATTTTAATGCCTTATTTGCCACAATCTCCCATTAAATTATGTTTCAGACCCCTAAAAGCTCTCTTTTCTTTTATAGGTTAGTGAAAATCAAGGAGTGGGTTGACGCTCACGATCCAGGTGCGCTGGTCATCCCGTTGAGTGGCGGTTTTGAGAGCAAGTATCAAGATATGTCTGATGAAGAGAAGCAGAAATATTGTGAAGAGAACAAAACGCAGAGGTCAGGATCTGCTACAGTAGTACAACACTATTCATTTTTGCATTAAGTTCACCCTAATATCAACATTCTGCTACTAAATACTCGTCCTCATGTCATTTCAAGCCCTGGAAACTTTTGTTCATCTTCAGGACACAAATTAAAGGTGACCAATTATGCCTTTTTTTAGAAGATGTAAAATAAGTCTCTTGTTTTCCTAGAACAGTGGTCACCAAACTTGTTCCTGGAGGGCCGGTGCCCTGCAGATTTTAGCTCCAACCCTAATCAAACACACCTGAACAAGCTAATCAAGGTCTTACTAGGTATACTTTAAACATCCAAGCAGGTGTGTTGAGGCAAGATGGAGCTAAACCCTGCAGGGACACCGGCCCTCCAGGACCAGGATTGGTGACCCCTGCCCTAGAGTGTGTATGTGAAGTTTAAACTCAAAATACCCCATAAATAATGTTTTATAACTCTTTGAAACTGCTTCTTTTAGGCTTTGATCCTATTTGTGCCATTTTAGTGACTGTCACTTTAAATTCAAACGAGACTGCTTTGTTTTTAAAGAGGGCGGAGCTACAAATGCTGAAGTGTCAGGATAGTGGCAGAATTAAAAACAAGACTGAGGTTCTATGCTAATGAGGGAGAGATTGTCATTAATGTTTGGGGCTTTTCCTCTCTTAAGCCTGGTTTGTACTTCTGTCAAGTGACCGGCGTAACCCACAGTGCATGCAATGCGCGTGGCTGTGCATCTATACTTCTGCGCGCTGTCTCTGTTGGTCTCCATTAACACTTCCGAAACGCTAGTTGGCAGTGAGGTGTAAATGTTCCTCTGTGTCGAGTTTCTTCGCTGGTGTTTTGCTTTTCCTGAACACTTCCTGATTGTACTCGCTCATTTTGAGGCAGGAACCGGCGGACGTGCAACAACTTTAACTATGAGGTAAACACAAAACAAAACTTGCCATCCGGAGCTCCTTCACGGGACTCCACACTTGTAAACAATCGCTCCATCGGGCTCGCGCGGCTCTCGGTCCCACCCAGACTCTTCAGCGATACCAAGCAGGGCTCAACAATAAGGACTGCCCGGTGGCCCGGGGCTAGCGTGAGAGACACTTGGGACAGTAGACCGCATCATTACTGGCCCGATTGGGACAGTGCTGTCTTGTCACTAACATTTAACTTGTCTGTGACTATTTGTAAGTTGCGTGCATTTTAAGTTTGTGCTTTTACGTCTTTACACACTACATTCTCTGTAATGTCGTAAACAACATATTATTTTCGGGTTCCTCTTATCTGATTGATTTGACCGTGCTAATTTTTTTGTAACCTGGTAACAAACAGTAAAGCGTAGAAACAGCAACATGGCGGCAACATCAAATTATAAGGCTAAAAGAAAAAGTCTGTTTCAAACGTCTTGGCAGTAGACATTTACATGGGAACAACACAACAAAATAAAAATTAAGTGAGCGAGTTTGATGTCAGTTTGACAAGTCAGCCACCTTGTGTTAAATGATTTCAAACCGCAATAAAATACCTCCACATTTTCCATACTGCTCTTTTTGTTTGCATAACACTTTTATTTGCATTTTTTTTTTTTTAAGTATTGAAATTCTGGATTCACAGACTTTATTTTTGACACATTATTTAAAATATGTGGCTAAAAAATAGCTATTAACTTCCCTTTTTTTCTTGGTGGGGCCAGTGAAAATTTTGGCAGGGCAAGTAAAAATCTAAACCACTTGCCCGATCGGACCAGTAGAAAAAATCCTTAGCGTTGAACCCTGCCAAGCCGACCAATCACAGAGCTTGTGCTACGCGTCGTTGCGACGTGTAGTTACATTTTTTGAGAGGTGCACGTCAGCGACGCCGACGCATAGGGCTATGCGTCAATGCCGTAGCATATGCGTGCGTTTGACGCGGAAGTATAAATCAGCCTTTACACGTACAAAGCGAGAATGTCAATCAAAGTGTTTCTGCAGACTTTTCATCAAGTGTTATTGTAAAAAATGTGATTCATACTTTTTACCATTAGAAGCTGGTTCTATTCACAAACAATTGTGTTTAAACCCCTTATAAAAGTGATTTTGTATAATAGTTCCCCTTTAAGATATTTTACATGAAATCCAAGAGCTCTCTCATCCTTCATTGATAGAAATGGTTATTGTGGATTATTTAAGCGAGGTACAAAGAACAGACCCCAGTTTAACTGTTTAAGCAGGATGGAATGTTTTGATAATGTTGCTTTTCTGGACATGAACACCTCAGAACTGTTGCTGTCTCCTAAATAGTGTTCTGAAGATGAACAAAGGTCTCGGCAGAGTGAGTAATTGATGACAGAATTACATGTTTTGCACGAACTAACCCTTTATCATGACTTTGTTTACATCTTGAGTCATTTGTTTCAGTATTCTGACTAAGATCATCAAGAGTGGCTATTCAGCCTTGCAGCTGGAGTACTTCTTCACAGCAGGACCTGATGAAGTTCGTGCATGGACCGTCAGGGTGAGCAAAAAAAATTAAGACTCATGTCCAGAAATGCATTTGAATGCTGTAAATATTTCTACTACTCACTATTTCAAATGTTATGCTTGTGTTTGAACAACTTACAGAAAGGCACCAAGGCGCCGCAAGCAGCTGGAAAGATCCACACAGACTTTGAGAAAGGCTTCATTATGGCTGAAGTCATGAAGTTCACAGACTTTAAGGAGGAAGGGAGTGAAAACGCAGCTAAAGTAAGACCGGGAGAAACTGGTATGGATTGTTAACTGATGAATGCTGAACTGATGATGTTGTGAAATGTTTGCAGGCTGCAGGGAAATACCGACAGCAGGGCCGAAACTACATTGTGGAAGATGGAGACATCATCTTCTTCAAATTCAACACACCTAATCAGCCCAAGAAGAAGTGAAGCCATTGTGTGATGACCGATGGATCTGCGGCACCACTTCATTTAAGGCTTTGGAACATTCAAAACTCAATCATACCTGGAGGATAAGTTAATTTTTTATTTGATTATTTTGGCTAATGGCTGAAGTAAATATAATGTCCGGTCTGCTTACACAAGCTGCATGTCACACAGCAGTTTATTCTAATAAAACACTTACTCTGAACAAAGTGTTTTCTGTTAAAAGTTCCTTTCCTGATTCTCTTTTTTGTGATATTGGTTGTTTGTTAATCCTAATTTGGGAAATCGGATCATTTGACCAGAAAAAAGAAGGTAATTAAGGTAATACAGTAACAAAAGTGTCACTCAGTTAAATTTGACTATCATAAAATTATGAAAAACACTGAATGAAATATTATTACACTCGTGTGATTTAAATATAGGTTGTTTTCTGTGAAATTATCCATATTTAGCCTTCTACTTTCAAGTATGTGGTAATGAGAGTTTTAAAACCAGGTATAACAAAAGTAGCTTGTTCATTTTCTTCATATAGAGCTGAGGCCATCTAATGCCCAGAATCAAGACATTTCATGCTAGATTATTTTTTTCACCACAAGAGTCCAGCAAAAACACCCAATGTGAAATGCTTGGAGCTGAATTAAAAGGGTTATTCACGAAAATAGCAAGTTAATTTGTATTCAGTTTAGGAAATGTGTAAATGAGTTGCTGCCATGTGATTGGCTGATTAGATTTTTGCATTGAGCTGTTGAACAGGTGTACTTAATAAAGTGGGCGGTGAGCGTATAATATACATTTATGTCACAGTGTGCATGTTTATGAAAAGCCTGAATATTACAGAATATCAGCTTAATGGTGGCAAAATACAAAATGTCGGGTATGTTTTGCTAAAATCAAACTGTTTTCTTACTGTTTTATTTTACTAAAGAAAATCTTTCTCAGAATCATAATCAAGGAGTTTGTTCAAATTATTTTTTAAAACAAAAACAGGTATTTCATCAATATTTGGATATGTGATGGTGAAATTGTGCAAGCGAAAAACAATGCGTTTCATAATGTTTATTTATTTGTTTTTATTTTTACTGCCAGTTTAGAACACAACATTATATATTTAACAAAAAACTAAATTTAAGCCTTTAAAATAATTAACAGTTCTTTTTGCTTTGTTTCTTGTTTCTTTTATCGTGCATTGGTAATGACCTGTTTCTATTTTAAAGTGAGTAAAATTAGTTTTTTTTCACCGACCATTTACATTTATGAATAAAAAATGTTCCATATATAATGAGCAAATTAAAAATATTCCAAAAAACTCGACTGTATTCTCATATAAAATAAAACATCTTTTCTTTGAATTCCAATGCGATATCATAATATTTGTTTGTATGGATTATTTAGAATGACGCAGGATAATGACGTAACCTGAGTGCGCCAAAACATTGTGCCGTGAAGCATTAGTGCAACAGTGCCGTCCAGTGTACTCCGCGAGTCATTTTCAGATGTATATTATTTGCGAATATGTCATATATGAAAAGTCGATTCTGTGAGAACAACACGTAAATCGATATATTTGCGTGACATGCAGGTAATGCATAAAATCTAAGGCAATGACAGCATGCGTCATCTTTATTATGAGAGAGAAATGGTGACCTGTTTCATTATAGCGAACGATAAGAGAATTACAGTACTTCATATCATTGAATTGTGATTTGTACAAAGGCATTTCACATAATCAGAGTCTCGGAGAATCTCCACATGAGAGGTGGCGGCGGCCTTTCAAACATCGGCGTTGTTGCCACCCAGAGGTATGGGTCAAGTCTGTCTGTACCCTCACTGCAATTACACAAAGACACTGCACGCTTTCCCTAGTGACCGTGTCAGAGCTCGACTGTGCTTGCAGGCGGTTGGCTTGAGGTTAAATGCGTCCACGTTTGGGAAGTATGCATGTAGCTTGCATTTTAAACCCGAATGCTATGTCAATATTGGACTTGTCAACTCCGGTTATGGCGGTCGCCTTATCCTAAAACAAGACGTATTGTCAACTACAGTCACACCAGCTCCTCGATTTTTACCCAGTCAGCAGCTTCTGGTAAGTGTTGTTTTATATTTTAGACATTTATTTAGTTTTTTGCACGATTTATTCGACTGTCTTCCCACCTCTCCACGCCCACTGGGCATTTACAGATAGCAGTGATTGAGGTGTTAAGTGGGTTTTATATTCACACATTGAGAATTTCTCCTGAATAATATAATTTCAGAAAAGTATTATTAGCAGATTATAAAGGGGAAAATCATATTAGCAGCCAATAACTATTAATGTACAACATTGCTAACTTCACAGGCAATTAAACAGTGCTAATGTTGTTTTAAGTCATATTTACATGCTAAATCAGACTGAATATTTAGAGTAGCATGTAAAACAATTTAGGGACAGTTAAAGGAGTGAATGTGAATACCGGGTTTCTGCGGGGTCTTAAAATGTTTTAAATGTTAAAAAACACATTTTAGGCCTTTAAAAGTCTTACATTTACTGAAATATTGTGCTGTTGGTCTTAAATCTTTTTTACACAGGTCTTAATTTTCCTTTGCTCATGTATTGCTACTCAATCTGGCCAAAACCCATATAATCACCAACAATTTATCTCAGTAATGTTATTCAAAAAGTTAATTTTCAACTCTTTAATTATTTTCCTCACAATAACATTTGTTTAAAAGTGCTTTATGTATTTATTGCTGAGGACACCGACCTGGACAGATTGTTGTGCATAGGTTCATAGATTCATTTTCTTTTCGGCTTAGACCCTTTATTAATCTGGGGTCACCACAGCGGAATTAACCGCCAATTTATCCAGCACGTTTTTACGCAGCGGATGCCCTTTCAGCTACAACCCATCCCTGGGAAGTATCCACACACACTCATACACTACGGACGATTTAGCCTCTACCCAATTCACCTGTATTGCATGTCTGGACTGTGGGGGAAACCGGAGCACCTAGAGGAAACCTACACGAACGCAGGGGGAACATGCAAACTCCACACAGAAACGCCATCTGACCCAACCTGGGCTCGAACCAGCAACCTTCTTGCTGTGAGGCGACAGCACTACCTATTGCACCTCTGCTTATATTATAGTTTCTAAAACTTAAAACATTTGTTCATTTTTTATTTTAATTTTAAAGAATGTTTGTTGGAAAAAAAGTGTATGGATACAAGTAGAGCTTGCTTGTTTTACAAAATATATAAAATGTTTTGCCAAGGAATAAAATCTAATATGTATATTTATTTATCATTAGTCAAGGTTTTTATCCTTCACTTTCACCAATTTGGTGAAATCGTTTCCTCACCGCTGTCGACCACTGGCTTGCATGGTTCGGGACTTGTCATTGATGGATTGTTCTTCAGTGTTTGGACTCAGCAGTGAATATTAAACCACACTGAACTGAACTGAACTGACATTTTCAATTCACTATAATCTTCTATGTGAAGCTGCTTTGATACAATCCACATTGTAAAAGCGTTATACAAATAATACAAGTAAAATCTGATAGGTTTTTGGTGTGCCCCACTTGTTGACTTTAGCCATGTTAAGCTTCTTCTTTTTATAATGGACTTCAATGGGGAGAAATGCATAACATGATCATTTTCACTCACTACAATGAGCTGATTTTTTTTGACATCAGAAAGTTTGTCACAAGTCAAATTTTAATAGAAATTTGATTTTCACGGCTTGTGTAGTGGTTTTCGGCTTTTTTCTTAATGAATAAAACTCAGTCTGGAGGTTATGAATATCAGAAGAATATACTTTATTGGAATATTTTCCAAATAAGCTGGGACAGCCTGGAGCAGACCCATCTCAGTCTCTCCCCTCTTCTTGTTGGCCCTTATAATGTACATATCGAATATAGTCATCACTGTTTTTCCACATACAGTTCACATTTGGTAATCATGACTAGTGTTCATGTTTTCAAACATCTAAACTGGACCCTTCTATTCCATACAATTTGTGTCTTTTCAGATATACATGACAGTTTCAACATGTTGTATATATTTCATGCTTTTCTGACAAAGATGGTATCCCCAAGTCCTCTCTCATGCTCTTTTATGACCCCTTTGCCTTAACCTGTCACCTGTTTTCAAAGACATATAATGGCAGATTCATAGGGTCCTCCACTCACCCAATCAAATGTGTTTTCATATAGGTTTATTAAATAAAAATCTGCTTTACTTGTTGTTAAGGTAGGTTAAGCCATGTTATGCTTTTCCTTATAATAAACTTCAATGGGGGAGAAAACGCTTAATGTAATGTTTTTCACTTTGTCTATAGAATTGATTAAGCAACATTAAGCTTTTTTTTCAAGGTAAGCGTTTTAAAATGTCCTGTGGTAAACAATACACAGACCGTTAAATGAATGAATGTGCGAATATAAAACCAACTCAATACAGCAGTGCTGAAATAATGGCTGAGATTCAGGAGTTTTACTAACCATCTTTAAAACTAAGTGCTTTTCTGTTTGGTTTGTTTACCGTGCTGGGATTGATTTACCCAGATTCAATTTCAAACTGCTGAAAACGGATTAAACTATTCTTGACAATTTTGTGACCTCATCCTTAGGGTTATGAATGTGCATGCAAAATTTCAACGCAACCTGTTTCTACAATGGAGTGGGCTTTATATACACATTCGTTCAGTGATAACTTGTGACACGCTCCCTTTATTGTTTACCATCGCTACTTTGAATGTTCTGTCAGAAATAGCTTGCAAGTATGTCTTCAAAACAACATTAGCACTATTTAATTGACTGAACAATGTTGTACTTCAATAGTCTTTGGCTGCAAATATGATTTCACTATTTGGAGTTTGTAAATAAAACTTTGCTGAAATTATATTATCAATGAGAAAGTCAGAATGTGCACACATGATACCAGCTTTACCTCAATTTTAAACAGCTGGAATTGTAGTCAATGGACACATCCATCTTGTTTTTTCGACTTGTGTAGTCAACTTAGTTATGATCTCATTTTATTCCCAGGTCTGACACTTGATTTACAATGTAAATGGAACGCAGCGTTAGCTTCAGCCATAACTGAATACACCTGAACCAGCCAATGAACGTCTCTGGAAAGTGATCAAATATGCTGACCATGGCTCTCCAGGATCACAACTGGCCACACCTGCCATAAAACCAATTTTTGATATCAAAATAAGACTTTTTTCGTATTTTGTTTTATTTGTGATGTCATAGTGTGACAGAAGATCAACGCCTACTTCTGCTTAGCCCCGCCTACCAGGTTGAACTTGTATTAGATTAATAAGACGGCAACACTTGTGAAACAAAAGAATAAAGATGCCTCCGAGGATTACGAGACGTTGTGCTGTGCCAAGCTGCGGAAAAACACAGTCTTTGCACGGCCTTCCTTCAGATCCTAACTTAAGGAAACAGTGGGTGAACTTTATTTTTAATGAAGTTCCAGATCGCATCATTAAATCGCTCTTCGTTTGTTCGCTTCATTTTACTACGGACTCCTTTACGAACAAGACACAGTTTGACGCAGGCTTTTCAGAGAGACTGAAAGTAAAAGACGATGCCGTGCCCACTATATTGGATCCGAAAGTAATGCAACCGCAACGCTCAAGTGTGAGTAACAGTGTTTTTACCATGTCACTGTTGCTTTGTCTGCTCCAGGCCATTTGATCTATGTTGGTTTAAGCCAAATCACAAAATCATCCATTGGTGTGTGAATGTATTTGTTTTGTTCAGTGTAAATGGCCTTTTATGCTGTTTTTTTTTTTGTATTT